GTGACAGTTTGCTTGAGATTCTAGTCCCAATTATTTGGAGCTATGACTTTAAATTTCATCCAGTAAGATAATGATTGCTTGATCGCTTTCCTCTAAACTTCCATCCACAACTAATAAACCATTGTATGTTTTTGTTCAGGCTCTCACAGGATCTCACTGGTTCAATGCAGAAATGGTCCGCAGCAACTTGAGGCACAATGTGTTTAATAGCATTTAGCCAAAATGACAGTCTTTCTTAATCTGACAAACTAGAAGCCGCTATTGGGAGCTCTTAAGAAAAGGGCAGGCAAATAGATCAATAATAATAATAATCGGGGATTGGATGATTAAAACTCTGAAGGAGCCTGAAGGTCTGGTTAAGCTTGCTCACACCATTTTTAGAACAAGGTTGCAGGATAAAAATAACAAATGGAATTAGGAGGGATGCTGATACTGATCAATGAGAAGGAGTTTAGATGATCAGTTGGTATCTCTAGAACAGACTCGTTGCTCACAGCAACAAAAAAAAACGTAGAATTACTAAAAATGTCGAAGGAATTCTAACAGCTGGTTACCATCAGGGACGCGTTAGAGTGATTCCACTTTCTTCGTTGCTCAGTGTGAACTCTGTCACAGGATCAATGAGGCAGTGCAATCACAGGTAATGTAGCAGCCTGGCACACTGCACTATTTTTCAGTTGTTTGCCTTGGGACGTCCCCATCAGATGCTGCAAGACTGTCATCATCTGTAATTCACAGCTGAGCCGTTTGTGTCTTCGAGTTCTCACAGCATCGTTTTTATTAAGCAAGTTAAAAAATGATCAGAGCACAGATGTTTTTCTGTGTTTTTATCCTTAGCACTGAAAAAAAAGAGCACACAACATTAGAAACTGGGAGGAAACTAAGGAGGAGGATCTGACTGTGGAGTTTCTTGCGGCACAAATTATCATATTAATAAGAAAACCTAATTTACCTCAGTGCTTAAGATTCTGAGTTCATGGCTGAGTTCATATTAATACTGTCTCTGCAATATGTAAGGGACAAGTACTGTATGTTGACATAGGATTATCTGCAAATGAATGCACTAATTTACTTAATTAATAACTGCATTAACATAGCAGCTTATCTTTTCTATATAATATCAGGACGGTGCAGGGATATTAAGCTGCTCCACAGCCTCCCGGGGCGGCACAGCGGCTCGGTTGTGATTACTGTCGCCTCGCGGAGAAGAAGGTCCCGACTCTGAACCCAAACAGTCGTACAGGACTTGAGTGCAGCAGATTTTCCCCCCGCGTTCGCTCCTTTTTCTCTTCTCAGCCGTAACTTAAAATGGTCAGACAGTCGTGGCCTACTGCTGCTGTTGCCGTTGGGGGATCCTATCAGTCAGTGTGTTTGCCCCCAAAACAAGAATCGTTTGTACTTTACATTTCTTCCAATTTCAAATGTATAAATGTTGTTTGTTTTTTTATTTTCATTTATTTTATTGGCCTTTCCAGCAATGGGTTATAGACAGCTGGGGATTTCCATTAATTTTGGCAGTTTGAAATTCATTAGTCTTGAAACCGCATTAATTACAATAATTTAATTTTGACAAGACTAAGCAGGGAGAAATAATGACTGTCCCAGCAGTGAAAGACTTACTGTTACTGTAAACAAAGCTCAAACAACCCATTGAGCTTAGCCCTCAACCCCAAATCCGATAGCATCTAAAATTAGACTCAAAGACAAAAACAACTTGGCTTCATGGGAGAAAAAAAACAACAACTTCACGACATCTGGAGTAAATAATATAATAATAATAATAATAAGTCGGCTGGATGGATCCGGAAGTTATTGACACAAGTTCTTACTGATAGTAGCAACGCAGTTTACAGAATGTTAAGCTGAAGTATAAAAAATATATATATATATATATATATATATATATATATATATATATATATATAGTATATGATGAGTATTAAATGGAAACCGCTGATATGATTTGGTCTGAGCTTCCTCCCACTGCTCCTGGATAGTTAAGGGATGAATGCAGAAGATATTTTTCATCCTCAGGGGGATTAATAAAGCATAACTTAACTTTGTAGACAGTTGGCTGAATTTGGACATAAAAACAGAGTCCCAGTGGCCTCATGCTGACTTCTTTCATAATAACAGTCAAATCTGAAGCCAGTTTCCACTACAGCCGCTTTGTTTTCTGAAAATCAGCCAACTGTGGCTTGTTGCTGCCACAATAGCGTGATTATGGAAGTAGAAGCCTCAAGACCCCGTAATCACCATCAGTTGGAAGTGGAATACAAATATGAGACCTTGGTTGAGTTTATCCAAAGTAGCTGTGGGCAGGAGAAAACCAATGACTTGTTATTTATCGTAGATTTGACACAATTCAGCTTTTATTTAAAGCAAATGAAAGTCCAGCTGCATGTAACTCACTTATTTGCACCAAAATGTACATTAAATTGGTCAGCAACACTACCACACCAGAAGAAGAAAATGCTCAAAATGACAGATTTTAATACACAACAGTCATTTCTTGGTCACTGAAAGGCAATTGTTTTTGTCAGACGTGAACATTTTCAATGTAACTTTTACTCTTCTTTTACCAAATTGGCACACTGTTCTGCTATGGCACAAAAATCACAGTTCTACACTTGAAAGTCAGGATCGTTTGATTTGTCTTTAAAAGAAAGCAAGCATGTGAAACATGGTGCTGTACAACAGAAAGATACGACATGGTCTAACATGGCGAATGTTCACATATTTTCTTAACAATTTTTAAAGAATTCAACAATTTACGGATCGACAATAAGCTCTTTTTATCTTTGAAAACTCTTTACAAAGTGCAAGCCTTGTTTAATTAACATGTTTGCTTTACATACTTTACAAATATAAACCAACCAATTGCAATGTGAAAATACATGTAAGCTCATATTCTGTCATTAAGGCCGGAGCGCACTGGGTGAATTTAACACTTATCGCCGGATGCTTTTCACGTGATGCTTTATGACCAAGAAACTCACAGTGATAGATGATGTTCATTGAGCACGTTTATCCACCAACACGTCTCTTCTATGCCCTGGTTTTTGCTTCACATGTCACTGCCGGCTGGTTGTCTAAACCACCCTTTTTTTTTTTTACCTCTCAAATACTTGAGAGCTTTGTTCACGGAGCTTTTCCTTATCCACCGAGCTTCCTGCAGCTTCTCAACAAAAAACCTGCATGATGTCATTTTCCCCCCAGATGGGTAACACCACTACAGGTGTGCTCACATTACAACATCCATTTGACTCCTACTTTGACTTTTAAACATCAAACCCGAGTTTGAAGTTATCGTGGATCAAGGGTTTGCAAAATATAATCTCATACTCTTCATGTACAATTTTGTTTTTACCATTTTTACCATGCCAATTAACGGTGGTTTAAACAGGCCCAGGTCTCTACCTCCTCAGGTGATATCCAAACATCAGAGAATGTTGTTTTTTTAAAGCTAGGTCTTTGAAACTTTCCCTTTAGATCTCCTATAATTAAACGTAAAAGCACAGCTAGAAAGGTGCACTCAGTCGAGTGGTGGTCTCGGGCCGGCCGTGTCTCCCACAACCACTGCTTGGGATGTTTGAATGAATACAACCCACAACGGGTTACCCCCCCCCCCCCCCCCCCACATCTGGACTGCACGCCATCTCCCTTTTTTTTTCATATCGAGTTTCACGCATATTCACATTCATTGATGCCTGCTCACCGACTTGAAGCCTTTACCCAGGCTTCGTGTCTTCTGAGCTCAAGCTTTTCACCCGCTTATACGACTCATTGCTGCAGAGGCTTCACACTCGCTCGCTGACCACTTGTGGCCCCCGCGTGGCTGGGGCCCAGTTAGGAGTATACGGAAAGAGGGGGCCAGTCAATCAAGGAGGGGTGTAAAACAACGCATTTTGATAATGTAAAGTCAGAATTAGAGAGAGATGCACACACAACCACCTTGTGGTGGTTTAGTCGTTTGTGTCCCATAAAGCGATGTGAGAAACTTTTCCCTTCAGAGCTCAGACGGATCTCTCGATGCTCATCCTCAAATTAAATGAGTTCATTCCCCTGCAAAAAAAAAAAACTTCACTGTACTTTTCTTCACCTACGTCCCCGCAGCTGCATAATTTCACAGGAAAATGAGCCGTGTGATAAAAGGAAAAATCATTAACATCAGCACAAGCTATTTCAGGCGGAGAATGGCTCAATGTGCTCTGGAGCCTGCCGTGTCCATCCCTTTCAGCGCATCTCGCTCCCACAACATCTAAAGCACTAAAACACACCTCCTAAGGATGAGAAAAAAGCGAGAGGGTATGACAGCGGTAAATTGGCTATTTCCTCCCCTGAGCCTTACGCCAGACTCTCCCTGCATGCTGAGCTATTTGAATTGTGCTGTAATTGCTCACGTTGCTTTTTTTTCTTTCCCCGCACGTCATTTCTACAATAGAATTTGATCTCATTACTTTTGTCCATGGTTGAATTCTCAGTCACTCAGCCTGGCAGGAATAATACTAAGTGGCATGTTAACAAAAGAAGCAGAGCAGAAACGACTGTTGCACTCTGCTTTTTTTTGGCGAATAAAAGTGAGAAGGAGGCGCGTTAATGCGACAACCCGCTGCGTTCGTATCTCGTCTCTCTCTTTTGAAGGCGCGTCTGTTAAAAAACTCGCCTTTCTCCTCCAAACGGCACAAATCAGTTCAAGTGTGGTGCCGTTTTCTGAGTAGCTTTCGGTAAAGTGGATAATCTCACCCGACCGTATAAGTGCGACGCCGCGAGAGGAAGAGCCGAAGGGGGCCAGCAGCGGCGGGTCATGAAATGGAATTCCAGAGGCTGCAGATGAGCAGCTCCTGTATCCGCTCGCGTTGTGCCCTGCGTTTTTTTGGGGGCAGGAGAGGACTTGAGCAAAAGACGCCGCGGCGGCTACTGCGGGACTGGCTGATATCTTTTTAACTCTCGGGGAGGCAGCGATATCAGAAGCAGAATTAGAACAACGAGTAGGGAGGGATTTGAAGATGACAAAAACAAAAGGAAAGCGGTGAGCGGAGAATGAGATGGAGGCTTCAGTGGCTCCAACAATGCCAGTGCAGGATGGTGAGCAGCAATGTTAACACCGGCACTGCTGGGCCACCTGCTCCATTTTTGCTCCCCCTGGCCCCCGATTCAGTGTTAGAGTTCTTCTCCGAATACGCAGGGATGATGTCAAATTCTTCCCCGCCTTCCTCCTCCTCCTCCTCCACCTCCTCCTCCTCCTTCCGCTCCTCTTCATCGGCGTCCTCCATCTGCAAAAGAGCGATTCTTCCAATTAACCGAAGTGGTAGAGCGCGGAGGGGAAGAGAAAGTCCACAAGTTTTAACTACAGAGCATAAATACTCAAACAAGCAGGAAAGCTGTTATTTCAAGAGTTTAAAAAAGAGGACCGACTGAGAAAAGAAACACGTGCCACTTTTGTCACATTCCACGCTGTGCCAAAGAACAGCTGATTGAGCACTTTGATGACTAAGCTTGTTTTGAATCTTGTTTTTCAGGTGTTGATTTCACGTATTCATGTATTCACCTGTAGCATTCCGTGTATTGGTGTCAGATGAAAGAATCACGTGTTTATTAGTGACCTTACAGGCCTCCAGATTCTAAAAGTAAGTGATGCTGATATCTGCAAACCACGTCTTACATTTCCTATATAGTATCATACAGCGAGCCTGATTTATTAAAGTATGGATCAGTGACTAAGAGAGCTCTAGAAATCCAAGATCTACAACACCGACGTCCACCTGATGGTTACTTGGCCCAAAACGATCCACCAGAATAAGTGTTGGAGGTTTGGCAGCTGACAGAACACAATATAAAGACGTTTCCGGTGTGCATGAAACAGGAGTAGCTAATGACGTCTTGATTTGATGTGGTCTAAACAGACAAACTATGGTTAGCAGCAACTTTCAAAGGCAAACATGATTAACATGAGAAACAAACTGACTACTTGTTTACCTGCAAAACATCACGTTACACCCGCAATCTGACAAAATCCGCATTCTGAATATTAATGTCAAAACCACTTCTAGTTAATGAGATTTTGAGAAAATAAATGACCTACATTTCCGTGAAAATGATATTATTGCAGAAAACAACAGTTGCTCTTTAGCTCTCACACTGTTGTTTTGTTTAAAGGTGTAAATAGTGAGATAATATAAAGGTGTGAGTTATTTATTTAAATAATAGAGCACAGAGTTGGATTTAGAGTGTTTCTTTCTTCCTTCAGCATCTGCACTTTGATTGATCAGCATCCCACTGTTGAAAGGTTTTAAAGTCCACATATTCTTCTAATAACTGCTTTGAAATAGTCCTCCACGCTGTGAATACACAGACAGGCAGGCTGATGGTGTGTGGTGAAAACACACAGAGCCTTTATCTCTGATCTTGAATTTTTTTTATTGATTCAACACTTTGAGGAGAACACTTGTTGTTTCTCCCTTCTGAGACTCCTCCAGCATAACAATTCCTCTTTCTGTAACTATTCTCAATTCCTCACGTTTTACAGTAACGGGCAATTAACACAGTGCTTTTTTTCTCAAATCAAATGGAAGGCAATGACATCATCTCAGAGAAAAGTGTTTTTTACAATACGCGTTCCCGTTTTTGCATAATCAGTGTTATTGTTATTCAGAAATGTTGAACCTCTAATGCATCATCTTTAGTAATCTGTATTTATGCGGCCGGTGCGGGGTGTCAGTGCTGTGAGGGAGCGAGCGACGGTTTGAGGAGGATTACAATGGTGAGAATACGGAGCAGCCGGGTGTGCATTCGTGAATATTAACAGTAAGGACCGATACTACAAACACCTCGGGCTAATCCGAGAGGGTTGAGCGGGGGGCGTCTGCTGCTGGTACTCGTGTGTTACCACCTGATAATACTCAGTCAAACTGTTTCAATTCGCCTCGTAGCAAGAGCCCAACGCCGGCATACGGTGAGAGACGGCAAAGAAGTAGAGAGCGCTTACACTGTTGAATTCGGGCAGGGTGTTAACGCGGCCCCTCTCCTGGTGGAGGCGCGGGGGGGGCTGGGAAGCCGGCGCGGGAGTGTTTTCCACGGGAGGAGGTGCAGGGATCCCCATGGAGCTGATGCCACTGCCTGAAACACAACCAGCAGGGGCCCATCTTCACGACGTTCACATTGCTGTTCCCGCGCCGAGCATCGCCGCGGCATTACAAGTGACTTTCGAAAGCTTCTCGGAGCCAACAAATCGGTTATTGTTCTGCATGATCGAGCAAAATACATTTGAGATTATTGATTGGAATGAAACTGCGAAGCCACTGGAGTGTCATGCGCCTCGGGATGGCGGTTTTTGGGGGGTCAGCCAGCCCACCATTTTGGTTGGGAAGGATTTATCTTGATAGGATTGCCATTCAATTTGTAACACACATCCTTTTTTTCCCCCACTGGATGGATTTTGTTACCTCTGGTAACCCTGATTTGATAAGGAGTCATTTTGGTGGGGTTTACGTTCTCTCCACTGTCCAGAGATTCCTTTAGTCCTCCTTGAGACGTTTAGTCTTAACGCACCAATTCTTACTTTACTGTGAGCACTTAATACAGTAACAGTTGATTTTATACACAAACAGTGCTGCTATAAAATTCTACGAGAAGCCGCTTTAGGTTTGCCACATTTGGAGAAAGGATTCATTGACTCCACAGAACTTGGAAATCGGGTTTCCATTTGGCAGCCAACCAGACACAACGGAGAATGTCACTTGACATTTACTTTTTCATATGGTAAAAGGAAAACAATATGGTTCAATGCTTTGCCCTCTGAATAGTCAATTACGACCAACCTCGTTTGAATTCTGCATTAATGCACATTATCGAATGCTCAATTTGAGCATGATCTCCATATTTATTTAGTTCTCTAAAAGGTTTCTTCTGTCATTATCTTGACACGGGAAGAACTGATAGTTATTATAGATGAGTTCAGTTTGGAAATATTTGACCTCAAATTAGTACCCAGATTGATTCTTTCAGTTAGAACATTACTGAACTGACCAACATTCATGAGAGAATTATGATTTCAAATCATCTTTACCATTTTTAATAATCATCTATTGTTTTTACTTCTGTAGTAGCTCATAATAGCTTTTTTGATAAATATATATATGCATATATATATATGTATATATATATATATATATATATATATTTTTTTTTTTTACTTTTTGTTTTTGGAATCACTGTGAATTTATTGCGGCAGGTTTTATGCAATAATACAACAATGAAAATATAATCAGTTTTAAATCCAATTGAACTCCTGAACTCGGCTAAATGGTCTATTTGGGTTCACTTCACTGCAGATTAAAAACAGCAAGATGAAACAGGCACTAACACTAAAGGTGCAATTATCTTCTGCTGTAGTTCAAAGGGAAATTAAATAATTCTAACTTGGAACCGCTTTTACCCTGCAAGCTGCACATATCACGTAGGACTCCATGTTTTTTTTTGTACATATCATGCCGTAACCATGGTGACATTCTACTCACGCAGGCACGTGTTGCTGCTGAACAAGTGCAGGATGCGCTGGCAGGCCTGCCATTCGTTGCCGCTGCCGTCACACGTGCACCACTGAGACACGTCTGTGCTGCTGTTGCTCACGTAGTTGGGAGTCATGATGGTGCCTGCGTGAAGAAAGAGGACAAAAAGGAGAAACTTTTTTTTAACTTTGAACATAATATATGTCCCTCGGGCAGAGGTTTTTCATTTTTAGGTAACATGCCGTCTAATAACAATATTAGTCCCCCCCGGGGGCGCGATGTCACTAAATAGTGACATAATATATGGAAATAATATAACCTGGATCATTTTGTGGAGATGCAGGGAATGCAAGCTTTTGAATATGTTTTTTAAAAACGAGGCTGACTGGATCAAAAGAGCAGCCGCTTTTACAGTTGAACCTTTATAAACCCCGGAGTTCTTTTGTGCTACAGAGTGAATATAATGCAAGCCAAATATCCCCGTTAGACAGCTACTGATGTTTTTTTCAATAACGAATCTTTTGGTAAATATTTTTCAAAACTATTCCCTCTTTCAGCCTCTTTTACCTCTGAAATGTGTTTTTTCCGTCTCACCTATGAGTCCAGCGTAGGCTTTCAGGCACATGGCTCTGCTGTCTCGCACACAGCCAGAAGCAGACACAGGGGAGGGCTGGCAGTTGTGTTGGAAATCAGCAAACCTGGATCTGAAACACGCACACACAAATCCGACAATTTGATCATTTTATTCCGGGAGTCGGAGCCAAGCTGAGACAAACAACACAAACAACAAAATAGTGTGAGAGTACAAGAAAACAAAACTGAGAGATAGTTCAATAGCAGTAATAGTTGAGTACTTGCGTTGTTATTACATTACGCATTACATGTCATTTAGCTTTTTTAACCCGTGGTTCTACATTCTGCCTGGGGAGCAGTTAGGGGTTGGGTGTGTTGCTCAGGGACGCAGGAGCAGCCGGGATTCAAACCGCCAAGCTTGCGGTTCCCGGCACACCCTCTCTACTCCGTGCGCCATAAGGGTGTTATTATAGTTCAATAACACAATCCACTTCTCTCTGGAAACATAATGCAGCGAGAATTATGTCTCCTGCACAAAGCAGTTCACATCCAGGTCTTTTTCCAAAATGTCCTCACCTCATTTTATTCTATTGAATCGTTGAGATATGGCCCTAAACATTTTAAAACAGTTTAGTAAGGCATCACCGACCCTATTAATGGCGCTTAATGTACTGCATCTTCACACCCAAACATCTGTCTCACCTACACAGCTCGTCTCTGGAGCAGTAGTTCTGCAGACTGAGGCAGTTTGGCTTGCCCACCCTCTCCTCCCCTCGCCCGTTCTCCTCATAGGAACACGACGGGACGATGGTCTTCCTCCGACGCTCGCCGCACAGCGTGTCCGAGCACGGGCAGAAGAGCAGGCCGAAGCTGTACTCCTCCGGCACGCGCTCCAGGAATCGCCGCAGGGCTCTGTGGCACTTCTGGCGGTTGCACGCGTTGTCGGACGCCGTCGACCGCTTGGTGCAGGCGACGACGTACTCCGACCGCAGGGAGCCGCATTTCTCGTACAGGCCGCAGTCCTGCGCCGCCTTCAGACACTGATTCGGGCCGTCGACGGATAGAGAGGAAGCTGGGGGGGGGTCGTCAGGAGGAAAAACAGTAAGACACGGCGGCAGACGCAAATCTTGGCCTGCTGCGATTTGGGCGCCATGGATTGTGCGATCAGAGCAGTTACCTGACATGATGGAGGCCATACGTGACATCTCGATATTTCTCACGAGATTCAACTCCAGCTCTTCATACGGGGACACATCATACTCGTCATACGCTGAAACCCATAAAAGCGGCAGTGTCACGCGGATTGTTTTCGGCTGAGAATTCGAGCACGTGTAGGTGCCGCTGCTGGAACCCACCTGCAAACCTCACAGTCCAGTACACCCGGAGGCAGTGCTCCTCTCTGCGGGAGCCACGCTGGCATTTGCAGACTTGAAGGGGGCGGTACTGCTGCAGGGAGTTCTGTGCCTCCAGGCACTCCAAGCGGGCGTCCCGGCCGAGGGGCGACACGGCCTCCTCGGCCGCGCAGTACTCCAGCAGCCGATAGAGCGCCGTGCAGGACTGCTCCTGGACGCAGCTCTGCTCCGCCACCAGGCAGTCCCAGGAGGCGGCGACCGGCTCACTTCCTGGAGGAGACGTTGACATCGTCAGTGGCGGCCCTCAACGTTAACATGGCAGCGTGCGCTCGGCTGCAGCGTGCAAAGCGTCCAGGCTCGTGGTCACATTATCCAGCATTAGTCCGTACGCTAAATAGGCTGTAATTAAGACAACAGAGCAAGGTGAGTGCGCTTGATGGACCCTCCGCTGCGCTACGGCTTCCTTTATTATCCAAGGAAGAGGATTACATTTTAAAAAGCACACGGGTGTAATAGAGGAGCAACGTGGGCGAAACCTCAATGTTTCTCGTAAAAATAACAGGAGTCTCTTGGACATTTTAACACTAAAGGGTTACGGCAGGCTTGTAATTCTTTTATAATTGTTTCTTCATTTTCTCATTGGGACTCCTAGTTAAATTATCTTCTAATATTTTTATTTCATATGCAGTCTTACAATTCACCTTTGCCCTTGCATAAATGCAAAATGTGTTTTTTTCAGCACAGTGTCCCAACGGCATCACTGATGAGGGTCAAATGGCAATCAAAGCTTTTAAAAATTCTCCAAATGCCTCCTCTTTTTTAACATATGCCTCAATGCTCCTGGATCTATGAGCTCCACAAATGCAACCTTACATTTTCTCCTGTGGAGTTTCAAACCTCTCCTCCTTCCTGCATCTCTGACCTTCCTCTCAATAGTTGAACCACAAACAATTTAAAAAATAGTGCTTTTATAGGTCTTCATCCATCGTTTTAGTGTGGGGACTCCTTTTCCAGGTCCTTTAGTGTAAGTCCAGCCCTTTGTTGTCTGTATTTCCATAGAGGTCAAATATGCTGCTAAGACTGAATCAGTCTACTGGCGTATATAAAAACGACATGACGAGGGACGCTGGCGGACTCGGTGGTAAACACGCTTGTCAGGCCATTTCATCCCTAAAAGATATTCTGCACATGTGTTGATGCAAGAAAAAATAATAGAAACCTTTAAATTAAAGAAACAACAAAGGCTAACTTTCCTTTCAATGATACCAAACAAAGACCGATGCTTTTCACGTGTCTATAAATGTACCCCAATTTTCACTGGAGTACTTCCTACTTGGGAATTTTAATCGTGACATATTTGGCATCTTAAGAGCTTGTGCTGGATTTGTTGTCAAAAGGCACTGCTGGGGTCCAAACTTCTGCCACTTCCCCTGGAACAAGCTTTTCACCAGTGTGAGACACAATCTCCATCACCGTTCACTTATTTCCCACCAAACTTGCTTTTGTTTAATTTCCTCTTTCAACAGAGACTCTCTCTGGATATCACATTAAGGCAGTGACTTTAACTCAAATGTTGTTTCCCCCCTTGACAACATTGGAGAAATGAATCAGCAGGATTTAAGTATTTAAAAGGCACCATAGCATTAAGTTATAAAAGGGTCATTAAGAACAAATATGTTGCATATCACAGAACACGTGTCCGTTCAGTAGAAAAACAAACATGTTAGTCCACAGCGATTAAGCATTAAGAGTGTTGTGATTGGTAATGTTGTGTCTGGAATCTGTGAAAAATGATGGATAATGTCCGAAACACTGATTGTTGCTGCATTAGAAACACAATGCTGGAAGGCCACCGGCAGCTCGAGGGAGACGAGAGAAAAAAGAACAGTAAGCCTTTGTCAGCCTTTGTGAAATGAATTTCTCAAATCGGACAAATTGCTGGCAAATTGCACTGTGATTCTAGAAAAAGGAAAATCATTTGAATTGGCAATTTGCACACATTTCTTAGCGGTATCTTGCTCATTTCCAATATTGTGTTGTTAACTGCAAAAACTTTGTAAACAAATTTCTGCACCTGTTTTACCCTCACGTGGTCGAATGAGTACATTAACATGTACATCACACAAACACACAAACACACACAGCAGCATCGTGTTGGATTGGTCACACACTTCGATTAAACTCCTGCTGCCTGGCGACACGTTTTTCGCAATCTCAGACGCCGCACGAGGTCCGTGTCTCACTCTGGCACGGGACGTATCATAAGCAGAGGCCGCGCTCCGTCGGCTCCTGCAGTGACTCCGAAAGGGAGGCGCGGGGGAGGAAACAAAGCACGACTAACGCACAAGGCAATGAGTCATGTTCACAGTCACCGACCCCCCCCCCGCCACAAGGTATGCAACAGTGTGATTACCTGCCCACCTATTCATTATCAGACATTGACAATTATAGTGGTAAAAAATAACGTTTTGCCATGTTTACAGCTTTATGTAACCGGTTTGGGTGGTAAAAGGCTCAATCATTATTAGTTCTCAGTGTTTGCTGCCTTTGGCTTCCCATCGATAGAGACTATCAGCACTTTTAGTATCCGAGAGCTTGTCTATGTAAGCAAAACACACACACACACACACCTAATCATATAACCAAATCTTTATAGAGTGCAGAGCAGCTCTGTTAAACTTTGACGAGCGGACGGGCTGAAAATATGTCAAAATGATCATCAAGCGGCAGAGAGCTCACATTATGCTGAGAGAGATGAAACAAAAGAATCCTAAACAAAGTAAAAGTCTGGGTTGAGGGAACCGGACTGTGTGTGTGTTTGAGGAAAAGGCAAACGGGAGAGAAGAGAGATGGACCACGGCGATGCGTGCGCCATATTGCGCCCTATTGATTTCTCACCGGGGAGATTAATAGAACCAGTGAGGCGCAGCTGATGAAGGCCGGCGCCATAAACGCCGAACCACGCGCGCCGACATTCGGGGGGGTGGGGGGGACGGGGGTGAAACGATTGGACCGAATTTCACCTTTCGCAAACACGCGAGGCAGGTAGCGAGGCCTCATTTTGCTTGAGAGGAGAGCGTGATGGGAGACTCGTCTCGACAGAAGGCTCAGGAGGAAAAAAGGAGCAAAGCGACACGAGGGAGAGAAGGTGAGAACGGAGACTTCTTTGTTACTTCTTACATTAATTAATCTTCCCTGTGTGTCCACATAAAAATAAAAAACCGCCACGGACTGTCTGATTCAAAGTGCGGCTGGGAAGATAAGTCAAGAAGAGGACAGAAAGCGACAAACTGTCAATCACTGAATCAAGAAAAGCATTTCAGCTTGTATATATACATATACATATATATATATATAAATATATTATCCCGATTAGTGTGAATATCTTTGACTGTCAGTAAACTGTGCAGTTAACTGACTGCTAATGTGAGCGCTAATTTACCTTACGGGGCCACAGTGGAAAGCGTTGGACACAACACACGGGAAGCAGTCACTAGAGCACATGACGGTAAGTCAGAACAATGATTATCCTGCCAAAATAATGATTCAAGCCATTCAATAAATATATATTTCTTTAAAGTTGGAGAGAGCAGATGGCGAATGGGGGGGGTCTTTTGAAACATTTGCAACAGCGGCTAGTAGATGACGTCCAATTCTAAAAATAAACCCCTTCAAAAAAAAAACTGACAAAGGGATTGACCCCTCACCCCCCCCCCCCCCTTCTCTTTCCAGAAATGTAAATGTCTGTATTTTCCACAGTTTGATTAATAACACTGAGCCATCTTGTGCCATTAGCGTTTCTCTGCAGTGACTCCGGGTATTTTAGATATTTTGGATTGCTGGTTTTGATTGAATCCTAATGGGTGGTGGAACAAGCTGGTGGGGGCGGACGGAGGGGTTTCCTCGGGACAGACACAGCTGTGCACATTAAAGCCTGTGTGGGCCCTTACCAACAGTCATTTCTGCTGAGCGACGGATTTGTCACTTTCCCACCAATCGGCTCATCGTCTTCTAACGTTAAACTTTCTATCAACAGCGACCATATGCTTAACAGTTTGTGCACATTATGGAAGAATTCCAACCTCGGTCGAGCAGCTCTTTTTAAGGAAAGAGGACGAGTTCTGTCTGATTTATCAAAACAACCTCAATGCCAGTGAGTTGCCTCTTCTTTACATCCTATTTCAGGGCACATTACAGCCTCTTCAGACCTCTTCAGCATTCTGGACAGAAAACCTGCGCAGCTGTTTATTGTGCAAAAAAGATTCCAAATATCTCTGGGAGGAGCCTCTAGTTAATCTCATTTTTGTAAATTCCCTTCCTCCTCGACTTCTCCATGCTGATGAGCCTCTCGGATTTCATTACCCTCCGCGTCCGATTCTTCCCCAAATGATCGAGTCTCGCACTTCATGCGACTATTCCCCCCTGCGGCTCCCACAGTCTTCTTCACATCGGGGGCACCCTGACGGTCGCAGTAACACGACGATGTTTAAGAGAAGCGCACGCAGACTGTACAGTCTCACTCAATAACCAGGTCAAGCACAAAATACGATTAAACTTCTATACGAAGTCCATTTCAAAGAACAACTTCATGCCCTGTCTCCCCTTAGAGCTATAATTTCATTTAACACTGCGACACCGGCTGAGATGCAAAGCAGCCTCGCAGCCAAAGGCTGAAGATGAGCTTCACACACACACACTGATATTGAAGTGGCAGCAAAAAAGAAAAATAACGTTCTTTTTTGCTCCTCAATTTGCACAAGCTATTGCTACTGTGGAATGTGCAAACAGGCTGTGCAGGTACTGCAGCAATCGTTTGGTTCTGTTGTGGTTCCGCTGGTGTGACCCGTCCAGCAGGCCTCGCCTGCTGGACGGGTCACCCAAGAGGGGCCTCGCCTGGGGCGAGGGGGAAAGAAAAACTAGTAAAGGCGACCACTGGATGGAGCCAGGTTGTCGTCAATATGACCATTTTTGATCGCCAAAGTCGATCAAGTGAAGGCATCAATCTCACTTAAAAAGTTAAGAGCTCACTCGCTTGGGGAATGAAAACTGTTAAAAACACACACAGACACACAGCCTTGTGCAGCCCAATTGTTCCAGTGTTGTTAATATAGAAAGTTCGTAAATGCACTTGGGTTACAACCCGTAAATCAACGTCAGCGGTTGAGCGTGGATTCCCCTTTGTAGAGGCTGTCACCTGTCGTGAGCGCTGGTTGGAATGTGTTGGGGGAACCCATTTCACCCTGACAGCGTTCATTCTGCGCGGTCAGGGGGGGGGGGGGGGGCGACAAACCGACAGCGCATCCAAAACCGCCGCGCAGCCACAAGAGAGGACGTGGGAGTGATGGCGACTCAGTTCACTTTTGCAGGAACCTGTTTGTGCCATTTTGCCCGATTCACCGTGACCGTTGGGCGGGTCCCTCAGGCTGTCTTCAATCAGGTTGCAGCTCTTCAGTGGATCTCTAAATTCATTGAAAGAGAGCCACGAAAGGCTCTCTGTGAGAACGGACTGACAGCTGGTCGAAGTTCTGTGTGTGACCAGGTGCGTCCTACCAGTGGTTACCGAACATGTCTAAGAGTGAGTCTAAAGTGTCTTTCAGGTTTACGTTTCTGAAACATGCAGGCCGTACATTTGATTGGACGTCACAGGCGTCTGAATGTTGACATTACAGACAAAGCACTCCCTCAATAGACTGAGATTGAGCCAACTGTGTTTAACCTGTGACACCAGTGATAGGTGCAAACTGTTTTACATTTGGCTTTTTGTGCGGAGAAAATGTATTCATTGTAAAATGTTCACTAACTGAAATATCCTCAGCAGTGTCGCTAAAGCTTGCACAACAAATGTCACATGTATATTTTTGGCACATCGATGAGCCACGTTTTTGTGTCTTGCCGCTGCACCTCACGCTGTAACTGCGCAACCCTTTTTGAAAGTGCTCTCTGCATTTTCCATTTATCATCTGAGGAGGCAGAGTGGACAAAGGGAGAAGTGGAAGAGGCAGGAAGGTGGGAGGGTGCTAAGAGAGGGACAGCAGGTGAGACGGGCGCCTCAGAGAAACACAGCAGTAAATATGGCCCAATTGCTGCAATTAAGCAGCTAATTTGGTCTCAATCTAATCTTTTTCACATGTTGGAAAAGCTTTCGCAAGCGGCCTGCGATTATCGGCAGCAAACTAGCCGCTCTTCAGGCAGATATTTCTGTGCGCGATAATCTTTCTCATTAGCTAAAGGCAGAAGCACCTACGGGGGGGAGTTGAGCCAAACTTTCATCATGATAATTAGAAGAATCCTCTACAAAACGTTTGTGCTATTGTATTATCATTACATCGGCAGCATAAAATGGTCTTGAAATGTTAATATCATTCATCGCAGTTATTTTTGTCTCTTTAAAAAGCACATTTAAAGAACAGACAAACTGTCTTAACCTGGGAGTTCGCTTTGACTAATCGGGGGTAACCACGGTAACGTTGGTGTCGTAACTAACGTTACGAGCTGTAAAAAAGAAACAATATCTACTTTGCATGTTTGTGTTACTCTCACGTGCCGTCCTTGGTTCCCTCTTTGGTGATTACATGTCCGAAGGAGTTTTGTTTCAACATTACACCGAGTCACTAGCTTAGCCTTTAGCTTGTAGCAAGAGGAGACCACGGTGAGGACAAGTGACGTTTAACACAACGTGCTAGCAATATGTTAGCTCTACAAATAGACGTTCGGCATTTAGCACTGGTTTCTCTTAACGTTGGCCGTCAAATTGTGGTTAATTAGTTAAAAACGAGTTTCGGTTAAAAAGAAATCCTTTGTTTCCTGTTAATTCCTCATTGCGAACGCGACACTGTCTCCAGCTGCTCGTTACCGGCTGATTGGACATATGGCTTCATTTGGACTCACAATAAATCACTGCATCCATCCTGCTGCCTCCTCAACAGGCAGACAGTGGGTCCAATCCTTGTTTCAGTACTCATTACTATAGCTTACAGCAGAGATAAGGACAAGTCAATCCAATCGCAACAATTCTAAACAGCACAACAGGATATTAGTTATAGCACAGTAGCTTGAAATGAATGAGAGCTAAAAAAGAAAAGAAAAGTGTGACATGTTTTAGTGAAGCCTGTTCATTAAATTTAAAGTGTTCTGACACCAAGCATCCAAAGGTGACAACTCCACTACTGCGTGATTGTTTTATGCTCTGAATGAACCGACTCCAGCGCGTCCACAGCGGGTAAAAGGCCTTGAGCTGCAGGATTGTGCAGCCACATCACGGAGGCAACATCCCTCCTCTGTACTCCAGGTAAAAGACTTGCATCAGCCAGTCGGCTAGTGTGAATATTTCAGGCTTCTGCCTCCCGCTACATGGTGCGGTCTGACATTATTATGTGCCAGTTGGCCGGAGAGTAAGAGGCCTAGCGACCAGCAGGCTGCTGGTTTCTGTCGGCGGCATCCAGTGTGTGCATGTGACAATCAAGAAGCAGTGCTCATATAGAAAGAAGTACAGCAGCAATGAATCACATGAATCTCACAAATTAACCTTCATGATTTCTGCAGAGTTTCGCAGAAATCTGGTGACACTCAGAAAACCACATTCCGATGTGTAAGTTGCACTTCATTTTAATCCTTCTTTAAAGTAAAAACTTCAAATATGCGAAACGATTAGCTAATCAGAAAGTGTATTTTATGAGGGGGTTTTATGTATCCACGGGGCTTCTAGCCAATTTAATCTTGCGGTCGTCCTAAATGAAACTTAATTACAGGCACAGAGTGCATAAAGACACTGCCTCAGCAGAAGGGGAGGGGAAAAAAAGAGCCTATGGTACAGCGGGTAAGATAAAGAAACCATGGCTTGAATAAACCTGTGTGCATGAGGGCGCTCAGCCCAGCACACAGTGTGTACGTCACACTCTCACGACACCTCGAGCATGTGGATGTGAGCCCACATAAATCCCGTGTAACTTTACCCAGCTGGAAATTGAGCTGTAATAAATTTAAGACAACCGTGGTATGGGCTCAATCGCGTCCTCTAAATGAACTACAAAAATAGCAGCAGTTGCCGTCTGTCCTGGGATTTAAACAACGATCTTCACGAAGGGCAAAAGGGTCAATGTCGGGTTTAATGCCATTCAACAATAGCCTGCTTTCCCTTGATTGTCAGAGGGCAATTTTCATTGTTTGTCAGAGGCCTCAACGTTCCAACGTTATGAATGTGGAAAAAGAGACGGATGATTGCACCAAGGCATGCAAACAATTAATTTGAGCTTTGGGTGAAATCAAGTGACACATAACGAGCAAAACGGCAGTTTATGAATTATAGAATCTGTTTTTTTTTACACATCCAGCTCGCGTTTTCTTTGTACGAGTCATGAAGCAGACATGGGTCTTTTTGTTCGCAGAGCAGTTGGAAAACCTGTAATCTCAACAAGCAGGTGCAATTCTCCTCTTACATTTGGGATGTTTCAGTACTGTGAAGACACGTTACTGATAAGCGCTCATTGTTAAGATTGCAGGAGGACAGATGTATTTCAAAGTAAAAATAGTAGCATATGACATGGAATGCAGTTGAGAGGAACTATTTATACACACCTAAACAAGGACACTCCATTTGTCCGAATAAAACTGCCATGTAGAAATAAAGCAGCGCTATAACACAATAGTAAAGTCACAGGAGTTCGCTCTGGATTGCACCATTCTATAAAAACGCCAATTAACAAAATTAAAACCCAATCAATGATGTTGCAATCAAGTACAATGATAGAAATCCACGTCACAGATATGTGTGACTCAAGCTTAACTAAATAGTGCTTGAAAGTACCTGTTTTTCTTGGTGTGATTCCACCTGGGCGCCTGAGAGATTTGACATTTAGCATTCATCATTTAATGTCTAATGAGCAGCATCGGAAAACTTCCTGGATGCAGCAGAGCATTCAACTCCTCTTCTGAAATAATCAGTATTTGTATTCTGTATAGGGGAGCTGTGTTTCATTTGGTATAATGGATACGGTTACGTGAACTATACACAACCACATTACAATTATGAGAAAAATAGATAAACACCGCTTGGGCATGATCCAAAATGACACAAATCAATATCAATAACCACAGATGGAGAAGCGTTCAGCTCCACTGGGAGTTGTCTTATCTAGCCAGTCACAGTTGTTGACTTTAATCATTATAACTCATTTTGCAGGAGCTCGTTCGCGTGTGGCAGCGGAGGAATCTGTGTCAAATATCACCTTCTTTCCCCCATTTCATCACCACCAAAGACAAAGACTTAAAGGAGCAACACCGGAAACTGATGAATTTTAATGCCGCCAGGTAATTATGGATTATTAAAAAACCTTTGTCTGATAAACTTCAAGTAAACAACTTGTGTAAAATGTCAACGATTTACAGATGTGGCAGCTCAAATGCTTTCATCTAAAGGTATTTCTACATTCCGAGGCCATCTAATCAATATTTGGGGAGATGAACAGCTCTTTTTGGAAGGAGTCCAAGGCAGAAATAACAGACATGAACCCATGATGTCATCCAGATGTAAACATGTGAGGCTGCTGCTGCAATGTAGCTGATTTCATGGATCACTTAATGCTTTGTTGAGGGCCTTCTCAAAAGTTCAAACCTGGAATAGTAAATGGTTTATGGGATGCTTAAACACACACAGTCTTCTTCTCCTCTGTCCCATGTTTGTCTTTAAATAACAAGCCTGCCCTTTGTCTGATGCAAGGAGCTGAACTGAGCAAATATTGAAAAAGAAACATATGAAAACAATTTACAGGAGTTACATTTTTATGATGTGTTTAGCATAATTGTGGAGAATCTGAATAATAAGGAAACATTATCATTATTAATGCATATTAACAGCTCTGGGCAGGACGCTTGGTATTAATCTAATTCTTCCTAAATTCAACAAGCATAACTAACACGTGCGTTTTCTGGACACTGGGACACAAGACAAAGGGAATCCACACTATGCATCTAACAGACACAATCAAAAAGGTGCCTCGTGTATTCTACATCCAACAGGAACCCGGCTGGTAAATGAGAGACGTGCCGCTTACCACAAGAGAAAGCACCGAGCAGAAGTCCGATGATCATCATCCTGTCCGGTGACATTGGAGAGTTGAGGACTGGGGAAAACTCGCACCCGTCTCGCTGCAGCTCAGTGACCCGTCTCCTGCCACATCCAGCCTCCTCCACCACCTCCGCCTCCACCACCTCCTCCTCCTCCTCCTCTGGTGCTGCTGCTGCGCCCGCGCGGACCGACGCGGATCGGACGGACCGCTGCACAAAGTTGCCCAAACTGAACCGCGCGCGCAAACTGGAGGGACTCAACTTCTTTTCGCGGTTTTTGTTGTCCCATTTATTTATTTATTTTTTTCCAAATCGCAATTATTGATCTCTGGATGACGCAGATTACCCCCCAAAAAACGTACGTCCAAAAAAGTTTATCTGCGTCTAAATCCGCAGTCAGGTCCAGTCCGACGAGTTGTGTGTCGCATTTGGAATTGCGCGTGGGTGCGTCGCGGCTCCACAGTTGTCCAGTCGGGGTTGAGATCAGTGCGCTTGGACTGCATGGCGCATCTCTGCTGAAGGCGCGCTGTGATTGGTCCCTTTAAGGACTATTTAAGCCCACTGGGTGTGAGAATGTGTCCTGGGGGAGAACAGCTGGGCTGTTTCAGCCATTAGTTCACCACACGAGGTGTGTGTACTATGCACTGGGGGGTAGATATGTAGCATAGCAGGAGACTTGTCACTCGCTACGCATAATTAACATTATAATTATATTGTATTTTAATGGTTTGGAAGGCTGACGTTTTTTTTTAAAGCAGATCTCCATTGAATGATGGGCTGATGGAATGGACCATCACACTGTACTTATATTATGATGATCAACCAATATATTTGTTACCCAAACAGAGCTAGATTTGGAGATGGAGAAGAAAATGACTGACTTTTGATTTAGACATTCAAGTATTGGCTTGTTTCTTCTTTCCACACGCGCCTTGAGAAGTGAGCTTCCATGTAAAAATAAATATGTTTGTTCGAGACGAGTCTGCAGAGCAAGAGGCTTTTCCTCTCATATCAGCTTAAAGCAGGACTGGGAGTGTGAAGTCTTCACTTGTTCAATGCTGCAGCTCTGGGATGTGTCGGTCCAGAGGGGATGACACGCATGTGAGGAACACTGAAAGCTGGGGAACTCTCTAAGAGTGAGATATCCCTTCTGCTTTGTTCACCCAAACAAACCGCTGGATTGTGCAGTTGGTGTCCATATGGACTGATGGACTTCACGGTGAAGACTTTCATCCTCATTATTGATCTTTCCCAGGGTGTAAATTAAATACATGTGTGAGTTTGATCATATGAGCCAGCGCCCTCTGAAGGTTTTGCAGGCGATCGATACAGAATTCTATCTCCTCTTGGACGTTGAGCAACATTAGGAGGGCTGAGCCTGCAGCTAATAGCTAACGATTCTATTAAATCACATTACCTAAATGGAATTTATTGCAGTTCTTTTAAAATAAAAGTCACTCAACACTTCTTTCTCAAGATTTTTGTCTGAATCATTTCTTTAGATTCACCCATGCAATCCACACTGAAGAATACTGCACTCTCTTTGAAAGAAAACAAAGGCATTGTACAAAAGGTGTCCTCGTTTATACTCCCCTTCAACGATGCTGAAGTGGCAATTAGAAACACAAGTGTGCTGTGACTGTAATTAAAATGCACCTACAACCAAACACTGACAACAACGCCAGTCGTGTAAAAATACATCTTCATCAACAGTAACCATGGCGGCACAAGGAAAGCTTTTTGCTAAACCTGGACCAAACACTCTGCTTGTAGTAAAACAAAACATTTCAGGAGGATTTACTTCATCATCTCTCTCAAAAGTGTGTGTTTTTTTAGATAAATCGGCTGTTGGCTCGGTTTACTCCTACTGCAGCTTCAGCAGTTGGTCTATGGCAGGACTTCTGAGGTGTGACGCTGACTGCGTGCCATCACAGCAGCTCCTCCGGGGGTTTCAACCACGTTGATGAGATGTGGCCTTGACGTGCAGGTTCCTGCTGTAAGTCAGAAAGACTACAATCACGTGAGCATTCATGTGAGATAAAGGTGCTGCCAGTGTTTTTCAAAACAGTCTCATCTGTGATTGTTGTGGGCACATTAAGCATGGATCTTACAACAGGCAATACATAAGGCCCCTGAAGAAAATTATTATAATTACATTTAACAGATGGCGTTAAATGAGGAACATTGTTTTCTTCCGGTTATGTTGTTTGATTTGGCTTGAGGTATGAAAAAAGGTTGTGCTAAAATGGTGACTTAAATATGTAATCACCTACTTATTATGAAAAAAATGATGCCTTGAGTACAACAGGAAGTCAATAAGATGTCAAGCTTCGTAGAAATATATTGAATGACCCGTTTTTGAATAAATTATTATATACAACTATAGATTGATAGATGGACATATATAAATATCATTGTCTTTAAAATGGTAACAAGTCGGCTCATTAAATGAATAGTTTCAAGTTTTTTTGTAAGGTTATTTGAAGCGTACGTTCCTGTGAATGCATCATCTCAATAAAGAGAAAGATATTAAGTCTCTTGCTGCCCTCTAGTGGACAACTTTAGTCCTGCTCTAAACCGGATGAAAAGACTATATATGGGATTTCTAGCAATTATGAAGCACTTGTCGCTATCGATGATAAACACGAATACAGCTTGTTGTAGTCCAACAACAACAACAACACCATATGTATGTTTTCAACAGGTGAACACGTGTGTGCGGCAGCGCAGGCCCAGACCATGAACTGTGGAAAAAGAAAGGTGCAGTACGTTGCTCAAGAAGTTGAAAATTAAATCTGACGTCGAATAACATAAGGATTAATGCAAAAAGTACGAAATAGAGTCAAGTGTGCCTATGATCTCACGATCCTGTGACCTCACGAATGTAGACAGTGAAGGTCCGCCTGTGACACTAATACTTAATTAATTAACAAGGTCATGTGAGAATCCATTATAATTAAGAGGAATGAACCTTACTAAAGATTAACCGTACACTATTATTGATCGTGTCTCACTGTCAGCGGAAAGTTATTTAATATTATTTCATGTTTAATGTTCCCAACTAGGACATAAACCGCTCTGGGAAGTCCTTGAAAGCCCTACGACCCTGTGACTTTGCCTTAGTATGGAGAGCACATACACGTGACACCTGAGCAGCGTCTTCATTGGTCTGCGGGCGTGACCGTGAGCAGGAAGCAGAAAAGGAACAAAGTCCGTATAGTAACTTATCCGGGTTTATGTCTAAATTTAGTTTCTTCAACTGTATCTGGTGGTGCCGGAATGTACTCGCCAGTGCGTAGCGGAATACGCATTATGACGACGTCACTGCGTCTCCAGTCTCATTGGCGGAGAGCGGCGTGACGTCGAGGGGATCGGCCAACAGCGCAAATCTCGAGTTCTCGCGTTGTATCGCGATCTATTGTGTTATAAATCTGCGACGCGTCTTAACAATCGGCCATTTCGTCGGTGCAGGCCATCATTTGTAGAGGGCAGGGGGGTATATATCGTTTGCTGGTTATCTGAAAGGCACATCAAGAACATCGAAACATGAATGAGACAGCTGTATCATTCGCCAAGGATTTCTTGGCTGGTGGCATCTCCGCTGCCATCTCCAAAACAGCCGTTGCTCCAATCGAGAGAGTGAAGCTTCTCCTTCAGGTAAAAACTCTTCCGTTAAGGCTCCCTAGCGTTAGCCGGCTAGCTTGTGTGTGTGTTCCTGCTAACTGCCTACTAAAAGTTTAGCACTCATCACTGCCGGTTGTCGTCATTTATCCACATGTTCAGAGTGTATCATGGCTGACCCAACATGTGATGATATAGAATGAATGAGAACTTTGGGGGGCGATGGGATAAAGGATTTAAGGTCACCATCAGACGGGAAATGACCTACACGAGCCTGGCTGCTAACGTTAGCTTCCTACGTTAACCTTAGCCGGCGTAACGTTAGCTAACAAAGGACAAACGCACGTACTGGGTTGAGGACATTATGTACAAGTAGGCGGCAACACCTCGAACACGTTTACACTTTTACTACTTCATAGCCTAGTAAAATAAATCAACATTAGAATTATATTCGCGCCTTAAGCACGTTTGAAACGTTTCCGGTGGCTTATGTAGCTTCGATGTTAGCTAGCGTTAAGCGAGATGGCTGCAGCAAGGCCCGGCCGGCAGTGATTCACAGCCGGCTCGACAACTTTTACATGGGTTTTCTGTTGAAGCTTGTACCACGACATTGTGATGTATATTCACCAGGCAACGTCTTATTAGAACGTTTCAATTATCGAAGTTTTAATTTTTAATCGAAAATTAAATGTTAGCCGTGTTAAGACTCTATAGCTGCTACGATCATTGTGCTCGTTTCAACATGGTCCGATTGCACATTCATTCAAACCAGGCAGCAGCTCTTTTTTAAAATTAAATTTAATAAACACCAAGGTCACAACAAGGAGACCTTGTGATCAACCGTTGATTAGCTTACCCGTCTAACTGTTGCATTTCTTTTTCTTTACTCCAGGTCCAGCATGCCAGTAAGCAGATCACCGCGGACATGCAGTACAAGGGCATCATGGACTGCGTTGTCCGTATCCCCAAGGAGCAGGGGTTCCTTTCCTTCTGGAGAGGTAACCTTGCCAATGTCATCAGATATTTCCCCACCCAGGCCCTCAACTTCGCCTTCAAGGATAAGTACAAGAAGGTCTTCCTTGATGGCGTCGACAAGCGCACCCAGTTCTGGAGGTACTTCGCCGGTAACCTGGCCTCAGGTGGCGCCGCCGGAGCCACGTCTCTCTGCTTCGTGTACCCACTCGACTTCGCCCGTACTCGTCTGGCTGCAGATGTGGGAAAGCCCGGAGCTGGAAGGGAGTTCAACGGCCTGGGAGACTGCCTGGCTAAGATCTTCAAGTCTGATGGCCTGAAAGGGCTGTACCAGGGCTTCAATGTGTCTGTGCAGGGTATCATCATCTACAGGGCTGCATACTTTGGAATCTACGACACAGCTAAAGGTACGTGGACTTTACAGGTTGCAAATGCTGGCTGAACCACCTCCTTCGAGTTGTCTTCTAGAGCTTTAATTTTCCCCTTTTTATATACAGGTATGCTTCCAGACTCAAAGAACGCCAGCATATTGGTGAGCTGGATGATTGCACAGAGTGTGACAGCCGTTGCTGGTCTCACCTCTTATCCCTTCGACACTGTCCGTAGACGTATGATGATGCAGTCTGGTCGCAAAGGAGGTGAGTTCATTTGAAATTATTTTTTATAGTAGTAATGCAGTTACTACAATACTATATTGTGTCGAGTTGGTATGCGTTTGACTGAATGCAGCATGGACATAAAACTATTTTTGATGAGATTCCTCTATACTGTAGGTTCGCTTAACTTAATTTGCGCTCATCTCTTCCTCAGCCGACATCATGTACACCGGCACCATCGACTGCTGGCGTAAGATCGCACGTGATGAGGGCGGCAAGGCTTTCTTCAAGGGAGCCTGGTCCAACGTGCTCCGAGGCATGGGCGGCGCCTTTGTGCTTGTGTTGTACGACGAGCTGAAGAAAGTCATGTAATTTGTCATATTGTCACACCACTGTCCAATTTGGCTAAATGTAATAACTCTCCATTTCTATGGACTCTGCATTCTGCCTTATTTATGGGAACAAACTATAGTGTGTCTCACCCTTAGTTTGGGGCGATGGCTGTACTTTGTGCATCTTTATGATTTTAAACGTTCCACATCCTCCTCCTACCAATGTCATTCCTGTTAAAGAAATCCGATACCTCCTCCTGTCATTCACTAGGTTTGTATGGTCCCAATCTGAATAAATTTATTCTGGGGAACAAACCAAACAATTTATGTCCATGTCTCTTCCACTCTGCACTGCATGAGATGAGCACTCGCTAGATAATGAAATGCGCCAAGTGGATTACACCAAATGGCTATATTTACTCACGCTTATCTCTTCCTGAGCCTTCCTCTTTGGACCACGGTCACTACTGGGATTGTAGAGTAGAACACCTGACTTTAAACTCCTTTCGATAAACGCTGACCAGCTCCTGACTGTCGGTAGCAGACGCCAAATCAAGATTTTCTTTTTTAATTTATGGTTAAGTTATGGCCTTCTGCATATGGATGATTTCCGGGATCAATTTCCTGTGAAATCTAAACTACCAGAGAGCCGTTGAGGGATGTGTGAATATAAAAATGGAGATCATCCATGGAAGGGCTGTAACTGTTCATTGATGGTTTAGGTGAAGCTTTACCAGCGCTAACTGCAGCCATTAATCATTATATTCAGGCCGATCAGTGACACTGGAAAACATGCGTGCATTTCAGTTGTCCCCCTGGTGGGGACCTGAATGTCTTGGAAGCCCCGTTTTGGAGTCTAGTGTAGAAAGATGAAACTAAGGACCCCACGAATTTGACTCGGAGTCCCCGAGTTGCTCCGCCCGGTCTGACATATCGGAGGCTGACAGCAGGGGGCGCCAGAGGCAAACCAGTTTGACGCTCGCGGGTTCCCGTCCCCTGTGCGCGTGACCGCTTCTCAATGACGTGGCTTTCCCTCTCGTAAATATTGTGACGTGGACACCGCAGCATCACCTCTGCATTCTAAACTGTTCACTTAAATATACTGTAAGAAAATCTGACTCCTAGTAATATCAATTCTGTCGTGTAGGTTATAAAGTGAAATATATTAAATAACATTAAAATACAGCAGTGTATCAGAAAAATAAGTAGCAAATTGTATTTTCACAAATCCATTAGGAAACGTTATCTAATATGTTTTGGTACAAAAAGTGGCTTTGTTGGTTCTCAGCCATACAAAGAAAATAAAAAAAAATTTCAGTAAAAAGATTGATTCAAAGAAATGCATCACCGAAATGGATTTTGTTAATTAGCTTGCCTGTATTTCAAAAATAGAAAGCCTAGAAAAATGTTACTCCAAAAAAATTATCTCTCTTCTCACAGGCTCATTTTGAATTCATAAACATTTATTGCACCAAATCTCTCAAACCATGTGAATCTCTTGCTAGGATACAATACATCCCCTCTCTGCGTCCTGCCTCCCCCTTACAATCCAGGTACGGGGAGCCACAACTAAAATGAACACAAACAATTCAACATTTTAATACGGTGCGTATCGAATACTGGCCATCACTTATTTATTTTCATTAGCGGGCCATGTATACCGTGATTATTTTTGGAAATTAGTGGCTTGTATAAGCAAAATCGATTCCTGAACGTTCCGTCTCTTTTTATCACGGTGATCGTTATATTGTATTTGTGGAGGGATCAGTACAGTCTAACACTCTGCGGTTGGCCAATCTTGCGGCGGAAACTCCCAAATCTGATGGACGCTGACTGCGTTCTGGTAGATAAGACTCAGCCTGCTAATCAGAGTGTGAAACACATCCGTCTCTCGCATGCACGAGTGCAGCAGGTCAGATGTTAACGTGGACGCCTCACACCAGGACGAACCAGGTCTCTGCTGCCTGGAAAACTGGGTTGTGTGCAGAGTTCTACGCGTTGGCTGCATCACTTTCCTCCCACAGCCCAAACACTTGTGATTGAAGTGGACTTCACTGTTGAATGGCCTGGAGGTGTGAATTGAAGTGTGACTGTGATTGTTTATTAATCATTGTTAGATCTGTGATGGACTGGCGGCTCGTGCAGGGTGTTTCCTGCCTTCTGCCCAGTGCATTCTGGGAGAGCATCCAGCCTGCTGTTGTCACTTCCAACTGTATTTGGAATCAACACAGCAGCAGGCTAATATTATCGACGGGCTTAATTTTAGCCAATCGCAGCTATTTTATCAGAATATATTGATTTCAGCATCAAAACCTGTCCATCTTTCAAACATATTCCCCTTTAAAGGCAAAAGGGCAGAATATTTATGAGGAAACCAGCAGGAGAAACAACTGAAAAATAAAACTGCAACAAGACTTTCTGTGAAGTACAGGAAAGTACTAGTTTTTATTCCTTCATAATCAAACTTCACAAACAGCTTGAACTTGTACAATACCTCAGAGAGTGAAAATTACAAAAAAAGTGCTGGTAACATTTACAAAAATCATCCTTACTTAGCAACAATCAGTTTATTCTTCCACACTTTTTTTAGTCTTTTGTATTAAGGCTTAATACTTCTGTATAAAGTATATGCAAGATAAGTCTTCACAGTTTTTCGAAAAAAGTCACAATATCATGTAACATAATGAAGCTTTTACGGCTATTTTCTTTATAATAACAAATACACATCACTGGTAAATATATGTGAAATACAGGGCTTATTGTAAAATGGCAAGTAATGATACTGTTTGCTGAGATAAATTGATTCCACACACTGTTATAGGAAAGTTTTGACATACCGTTGCTATAACTGAAGGAGGAGGAAAGTAAAATGATAAGCATAAACACTTGGGAGATCGCCTCCAAAGTTTGGCACATCCCATGAAACAATTTCACAAAGTCTGAGATTTATTTTTGAAATCATAAATATGGAAGAATAGCTAAACTGGCATAAAGTGAAAACATGCTGTGTAGTAAGGTGCTAAATCAGAGATATTACATTGCCAGCCTTTTCCCCCCCTCACATGGACTGACATGAATAAGGTGCATTTGTAAGACTCAAAGCAAGTAGGTCTTTCTTAGATGTCGACAAAATATGTAATAAATACAAGTTTTTCCAAAACAACCTAAATGATTTTGACCAATAGTCTTGAGGCGACCTCGTGTACTCATGCATTCCCATGGATTCAGAGAAACGAATATCTCCGCTGCAGTTGTTTTAACTCTCTAACTGTGGCATGTGAAAGTAAAAGCTGTATTGTATTCATGGTATGTGTTATTTGCTGTTTTTTTTATTGTTTTTTTTTCCTTTTTTTTTTTTTACTGTAGAAACTGTGACAAACTTGATGAGTAAGGAGTATGGAATTGAAAACTGAATGCGAAACTAAGCCAAGATATATTCACAAGATCCTCTAAGCTGCACTGGTTTACAGGTCAACAGATGAGAGCTCCAGCCTTAGACTTACCAATTTCACCCTCATGCATACTGTACGGTTAAAGTGACGCAACAAGCTTGCTTAAATAGTCTACATCACAAAAGCAATTTGGTTTTTAGTGCAAACACAATTGGCTGGCTTCAGCTTCTCAATAATAACAAGCTCACCAAGGAGATTACAAGAAGGCACATACTTATGCTTCCTCTAACACGCAACATATTTAGACAAACCGCAACATCTTTCAACAACTGCCACAAAGCGGTGGAAACAGGAAAGCTACTACATCCAGATAAAATGGTGACGTTTTGCCCGTTTGTGAATTATTCAAAAATGTACACATACGCCCATCAACGAAACAATGACGCTAAGGTCAAAAGTTACTGCTGTTGTGAATGAAGGATGCAGCGTGACGCATTCTGGTGGACGCAGACTCTCTGCGCTGCGTTTACACGACGAAACAGGTGCATTTGGGTGTTTTTCTTCTTCCGTCTAATAAGTATTATTATTTTGCTTTAAAGCATTTCTCTGTAACATCCCCGCGATTAAAATGAAAAGCACCTCAAAGTGACCAAATATGCAGAGTGCTTTCAACGAGGACGGCGTGCACGACAGTAGGGCAGCTGCGTTTTGGCTTTTGGTATTTTTGTTAAATCTTCAAAACGCGGCGAAGACGTTGGACACGTTGGACGATGATTCCTTCACATGCCGTCTCTGACTTTTCAAAGTTGCTTGATTTGTCCAAAACAATCACAGGAGGAAAACAAGTTTTAATGCCGCTCAAATCTGGACACCAAATACTCGGGGAAAAGAAGAAGAAAAAAAAGAAAAAACCTTCTGCCAACAACAACATGTGGATGTGCATTTAAAAAAAAAAAAAAAAAAGCGACTGATTTCTGTACCTTTTGAATACAAACAAAAAACAAACAAATCAAAACTTGATTTCCAATATCATCATTTACTCAGCATGGGAGACAACTATGGTTCAAAAATGCGTTGAGTGATTCATATTGCTTTAGATTGAAGAAGACCAAAACAAGTCTAGTGCAAATGTCTTTTCTGGGTGGAGAAGTGGCGTTTGGGTTGATGACACTCGTCCGTCATATCTGCTCGACCACAGCGAGAACGCGCCAGCTGATTCGGATTACTCGATAGCTGTCAAGTGGAATTCCTTTTTTTGCGATTTTTTTTCTTCTTCTGATTATTCAAAAAGCGCACACTTTCTTTTTCAGAGGGAAACAAAAAGAAAAGACCGTCAGCAGTACGTGCCCGTGCAGCAATTTGGAAGGAAAGCCCCAATAAATATTTCCTATTACATATAATAATCCGTCACCCAAGCGACGCGATTAAGTAGCACAGAGGAAACGTCGTAACTTCTCACATCTGAATCTGAACTCCTATTTGGAACGGGAGGAAGGGCGGCCGCGTTAAGTCACCTGGCCCCGTGCAGCTGGGGGAGGATGTGCTTCTCTGTCAGCGCACGTCTGTGCTAACGGGTGTGTCGCCTGTGCAGTTATGTCTGTCAAATGCATCTCTCAACTTGGGAACGTTGGAAAACTCACTCCAGTCCAGTGTTTGACAAATCATATTATAAAAACGTCCTTGCACGTACATTAAAAAACATACAAACTTTATCCCCTCTTTCAAAACAGCAGTCAATACATTTCAAACAAGCTTGTTTCATAACAATAATAATAAAATACAAACCAACCTGGAGCATAAATTATCAAAAACAAACTGAAAACACATTACTGCAGCATATATTTCAGGGTTTGCTTAGTTGTGATGTTAACTACCTTTACTACAACAGCTCCACTTCTGCCAAGTTCATAACTATACAGGAGAAGTATGTTTTTTTTTTTTAGGGAAATGATAAAATATCAAACTAACTTCGGCAAAAGAAAGCCTAATAAAATATACACATATTTATAAGCACATCTTATAGTTCAACTCAAGTGCATGTTTACAGAAAGCATCTACGTAAAAGATATGGCAGCAAAAAGCCTGAAAGCCGGATGAAGGAACAAACCTACGCTGCGTTTATTAGGGCGCGTGTCATCTATGATTTTTAATGCCAATGTTTGAGAAGTTCTGTCTTCGCCACAGGTACAAAACATCGCCAGAATTACAGTAATTAAGTTTCCTATTTTGAACACACACAAGATGAAAAATATACAGCAGATTCACCTTGAATTCGACCTTACAGTAATAAAATATCGTCAGATTTTGCCAAATGGTTTACATTCCGCTCGCAGGTGATCCTTACAAAAATATACGTAACCACTTTCATAAATATTTGGACCACGTTGTGATTTAAAAATGCGTGTTAGTTTGGTTTTAAATTTATCTTTATTATGTAGTGATTTTTTTTTCAGTGAACATGAGCGACTGTAATATTTGATTGCAGACCACGAACACCTCAGCTGGATTTGACTTGAATTTGCTGAGACTGAAGGTGTCATTATTCTCTTTCCTTTCTTTTTTTTTTGGCTTAATAAACAAGCTACAAAATATGTGCAAACTTAACAACTTGGTCCATCTCGAGCATGAATGGCTAAATGTACTCAACGTCACAATGTCAGATTAGTATTTAAGGGACAGCCTTGAAATATTAGACCGTGCAAATATTTGAGGAAAACTGCGATCAACAAAACTATTTCGATATAATCCAATGTGAAGGTGAACAGGTCTACACTGATTGGCTAGATGTGTGTATAGAAGACGTAACCAATGATTAGTATGTTTTGTCAGAGGAAGGATGCAACACTTATAAACATGTTTAACATGCGATAGTTTACATCACAGGTGCTGTGTCAGATTCATTTTTAGGTTTTGTTGCATTTCTTATTAAAAACCAAGGTCTATTTTGGTCTACAACAGGCAAATAAACACAACCACAAAACTATGAACAACCGATTAATTGACAAAAAACAAACAATGCATTTTCACAAGCACCCGGCAATGAGGAAAAAAAAAAAAAAACTGTAGCAAACTAACCCGATCGCTAAGGAACCACACGCCTGCACACACACACACACACACACACACACACACACACACACACGCACACACGCACGCACACAGAAAATAAATGTTACTTTCTCCATAAACTTAAATTATCTCAACCCTTCTTTGGTTTATGAAAACAAACATTGTCTAGTACAGTTTTATTTTCCATTTGACTTGTGATGATTCGGGTGTAATGATTAGGCTTCAGCTGTGCTCAAAGACTACGGCATTTGTGTTCAATTCACAGCGAGAATAGACTGAGGGAAAAATACATTATACTAAACTTGGATGTAATGGGCAATGTTTGCTACCTCATGACCAAATACTCAACAGATGTGTAAAAAAAACACACATCACATAAGTGCTGGAAATCCGCCTTAATGTTAGATGAGTTAAGTGTGGAAAATGTTTGCCAGACTAGGTGTTGGAATGCGCTGGACTTGAACAGGAATGCATGGTTTTTTTTTTTAGTTGACGCACTTTTCGAAAAAAGCAAATCGTCTCGTCGAGCCGGACCGAGCCAAAAAGGAAGAAAAAAAAAAACAACGACAAAAAAAAAAACACCACAGCGACTGAGAACACAAAGAAGCTGAACGCTTAGTCTTCTGAGGCTGAATCGTGCCTTAGTCTCCTCAGCTTTGTGAACAAATTAAAACAAAAAGATACAGAAAGCCTGTTATGGAGGGACATTCAAAGTTCTCCCCTACAGGAAGGAAGCTGTGTAGACAGGACTGCATGCTTCATTGGGACTGATGGACGCTTGTTACCTGACGATATCTCTTAAGCGCCTCGTGGGGGTGGAGTGATAACTGCATGTTCGGAGAAAGTACTGTAGACGCTTTTATAGCTTAGTTCAGCTGCGTCTTACTTTCAAATGTGCACAGCCGCTTCACCGTTTGCGCGTGAAGACACGATTGCCGTTTGTGTGCGTCACAGTGTGACGGCTGGATGACTGGGACGAGCTTCATCACGTTGCCTATATTACTATTAATGCTTCACTTGAACAGTAAACGTATTAAGGAACTAAGCCTTCAAAATTTGAATCGTAGGTGTTTTCTCCTATTTACTGAAGATTATGCATTATGGAGGATTTAAAGATTCAAAATATAGGCATCACTTGCTTTTGGCATTTTTGTAATACATTATGCTTATATAGGTTTTGCTGATTGAAAAAAAAAAAAATTACATTTTTTTTCCAATTTGTGTTGGTCTGCTTTCAATCTCACATTTTATTTGATTTTAAGTGTCCCCCCCTCCCCCCCCTCCTAAATCTGGCACAGTAACTAGGCTGGAGAAGGTTACAGAGAAAATTAATTAGTCCACAGGGGACGGAATAATAAGCCCTCCCAACACCTTTTATCTCGCAGCCACTCGGTCCTGAAACTCGATTCATGCTTTTTATCCCACAATATTTTCCCGTTAAGTTTTGTTTTCATGCTGTTAAACAAACCACTTAAAGACATTTTTGAGCACCGCATGTTCTCTGCCATAACTCTCAATTAGTAATTTAATTTCTAAATATCTAAATGACCGGCCTCTTTTTTTTTTTTTTCCATGCTGCTTGCTGCTGTTAAAAGATTCAACTTGAGTGACCGTTGTGGGGGGATTTGCCATCGACTTTCATGTGCGAGAGCCCTCCGACGTTTCCAGTGTCACTACTGGCGAGCCGGTGGATGCATATGATAATCTGAAGAATGCCGATATTTACCGGCAACACCATCAAATTAAAAAATCCGAACATTCAACTTCCAGCTGTGTGTGGCTCCCTCTGCCGAGCACAAAGTGCCACTGGCCCGCCCCCCCACAAACACACAGCACGTCCTGAATATGGCTCGCTTGTAAGCGGCAAAGACTAAAGATGGTCCTAGTCGGCCCTAACAGCCACGAGACAGAGAGCAACGTGGAAAAGAAAAGGTCCTCCGGTTAGGAAATTAAATAAATGTCTCAAGCACCATCTGAACCCTCTAAACCTACTCGTTTGTTTCATTCAGAAACGTGAAAAAGTGATCGGATTTTTTATATCTTTGAATCCTCCAAGCCGTATAAATGTAAGATAAAAATAAAACTTGCAGATGTAGCTTTTACTGTATATGAATAGAGCATTTCAGGTATTTTAAAGGGTTATCTTAGGATGTACACACAACCACCAGGTCTTAGCAGTAATAGTATAAATAGTATTTATTTCAATAGACCATTGAGTATATACTGTATCTGTGCAATGTAGGAGAGAAAGACTATGAATATTCTGTATAGTTGCTGTATGTACTGATAGGCACTTGATAGGCATATCCCCTATATCCCACAAGGTACTGTATACTCTCGCTGCAGTTGCGTCTTTATCAAACTATCTCAGAATGCATTCTTTATCTGTGTGGAGACGGTGATACTTAAATATATATAGTACATTTGTAGGAAGTTATCTATTTCACTCTTATGTGTACTGAAGAAGGCCCAAAAGACTAAAATGCAGTTTTCTGGATGTACTCATGCTTTTTTGTCTGTATTCTACTCGTAACTTTGTGACTTTATTCAAGCTTGAATAAAAGGATCTGACTTAAACATGTGTGGCGACCGACTGAAAGACAAACAGGAAGACAGACGCATGCATGTCAAAATAAAATACACCTGTTCCTTACTCAACATGACCCTCACCATTACTATCTTTCCTTGATTTCAACTCAATGCGAAGCATATAAGCATTTATAGTATACTGTGAAACAACTCATTAACTGTTATCCTTTATCCAGTTGCGTGAAGCTATGTATGTATAAACAACGTCACTATGATCACCATAAAAAAAAGCAGAAGGAAGTCTGAAATTAGAAGTATAACGATGAATTAAACATACTGCAAGAAGGACAACGATGTACTGTAGACCCTGTGTCTCTACTCTAGATAAACAAAACATGAACAGTAATATATTTGAAACACAATACAAACAGCTGCAGGCTCAAGGCTATTATCTACTTTTCAATATGTTTTGATCTGGAAAATATGCAAACACTTTGCAAACATAAAGTCTCAACTTTTTTTTCTTTTTTCAAACTAACAACTAGAAGAAGCACGATTGAGATAAGGACTTACTTTCATGGATGATGTTGCAATTTTTCACCAACTTTTTCTGCAACACCGAGAAAAAGAGAATTAAGCACCACCACGAGTAGCTGAAGCCGTATAAGCAATATAATAACTATGGACAGTGGAGAGCGTGTGATGCTAATGCAACAACGAGGGGGGAGGAAGCTAAAGCACGTTATTATGACACACTGGAGAGAAGGTTCGTCCCCTCCCAAGCCCGGTCTGCTATCAAACACCTTATGATACAAGAAGTCAAATGACGATTGGACGAGTTATCAGCCCTCATCCGCATAACGTGGAGATCGGCTACTTTTGTTATTCCAAAAAAACAAAAAACAAAAGGAAGATAGAGAAACGATTGATAGTGTAATTCTGAAATCAAATAGTTCAAAAAACCGACATCTAGCTACTTAACCTACTATTTAGACCAATGATACCACAAAGCTGGTTGTACTCATCTAGCTACAGTCAATAGTGCATTTGATATATGTGTTTACACAAAATATGTAAAAATTTAGGTGCCGTGAAGGAATGCTAGATCACTGAACACACACATTACACTGAAACAATTCAACTCAACTCATGCCTCTGCCTCCGCCCTCAAAGAAGTGCTGATGTTGGTTTGGCAGTGTTTAACTTGGTACTGAACAGACAACGACACCAACGCCGTGAGCCGTGCGCCGTGCTGTTGGAAAGAGATCTCGGCAGTTGCTAACGTATTCTATTTAGTGCATTGTCTGTTAAGGCATGAGATTAACCCTCCACGTGCTGTGTAGAGACAAATAGAGCACTAGAATGCATCAATTATCGCCACGCCATCGCAACAATTTAGGCGCATGTGCACACCGAAGGAGACGGGCCTAATTAAATGTTGAATAATGTGCTACTTTCACCGAGGACTCACATGCTTCTTCAACATTATTACATAAATATTTTGTCAGAATACAGAAAGCCTCGTTGCCTCACGTGCTCGTCACTTGACTTCACTTCGGCTGACTCTACGGGGATCACAAACCTAGTGGCAATCATACGAAATTTCAAAAAAGCCGGATGAAACTTCTCCAAGCGGGCGCGACGAAGTACAACAGTACTCGACCTCGGCCTTTTTTGTCGAATCTCAGAACAGATGTCACGTGTTGCCGCGTCGGCCCGAAAGGTTCAGAGAGCTGCTTCTCGTAGTACCTGCGCTGCATATTGCAAAGGAAGCCCTACAGTTCAGATATTCCACTTATTAACAGATTGATTAGGCTAAATACCACACGGACGTACAAACACCAAGGAAGGGACACGACCGTGTACAACCGACAGATATCAAAGAAGCTGCATTCCATCACCTCCCGCACCTTAAAAACCCCACAGAAAGTTGTTCTAGGACACACATATCATTTATGTTACACACACACATACACACACACACGCACACACATACATTTTAAATGTATTACTATTAATAATACAAGAATAGCTATTATTATCATTACCTCCGCCAACGGAGTTGGACGGGAGTCGTGTATTATTACTGTTTCACTGTTCATGTTGTTTGGCTTGGATGTTCTTGAAGGAAAAATTGTGTCTGTTTCTAAAGAAATGCGCTTGATTAACTGTCACAGGGAGCTGACTCCGTAAAAGAATGAATTCAAAAGGTTAAAACATAGATGAGCACACATTATGGTACATATTTAAATAAAAATAAATGCTTGCATTAACACGGCACAAGGATATACTGTAGGTAACTGCAAGCGATAACAAAAGCCAAGAACCACTGAATTACTTAATGAATAAATTGAAACAAAGCTATTCTTACATGTGAACTCTACAACCAAATGTTAGATTAAAAAAAAAATCCTCTTTTCTAAAACTATAGTATCTCTGTTAACAGTAGTGCACTTATTGGTTTAAGCAGTGCAACATATATGCAAGAAAATAATGCAGTCCACTTATCAAGATTAACAAAAACAAGTTTTCCTTTTTAAATTGAATGAAAGAAAATCAATAAAAGTTAATTTAAGGAAAATGATTAAATATTAAGCACAGGCATTTTAAGAAAATGTGCAAAGTAGCACTTTGTTTTTTAAAATCTACAGCAGGTCTTTTTAAGACCGCTGTATGCAGTTTGTTATTCTTTAAACGGTACAACTACCAAAGTGTTTGCTCACATAAATGAGCAAATCCTCCAGATTGTAGTTGCAGGCAGTTGCATGTGTGTGTGTGTGTGTGTGTGTCCTATTTCTAATAAAAAGCAATAAAAAACGATTCAGATATTAGAAATTTGCCTTATCGTGATGCGTGGATGAAAAACTTTTGCACACTAGCTTCCAAATCTATTCTCAACATGCTGTGTCCAAGAGTTTACAAAATCAGGAATGTTTACGGTCGTCTAGAAAGTCCATCTGCAACTTGTGGTACATCACGAAAAAAGCAGTGTGATTTCGAAGGAGCTACTTGTTTTGCGCTGAGGCTGCATTCTCATTGGACAGCGTTGCGCGCCCTTTGAGCTGCCGAGAGGAGCAAATGCACCAAAGAGAACGTGCGATTAGCTCCAACCAGCTGAAATAGCTGTGCAATAGCAATGGATGGGTTGCACAGGGGGTCCGGCTGATTCAAATGAAACCCCTCCCTCGTTAACACCGTTCCCATCGCCGACAAGCCTGGACCTCCCAAATATTATAATCTGATTATCAAATTGCAACCGCGAAGGCTGATCCATGACAATAATTACAGTGACAATTTCATTCTACATCCCATTGCAGTCAGGTGCAAGTTGAGGAGCAGCAATCATGAAGGAGAGAGTTTAGTCGCGTGTGCCGGCCTGCCATTAACTGTGAATGGGAAAAGGCTAAAACAAAGAAAAACATCAGCAAAAGGATCTTTCCTTTTTTTTCTCTCTCATGTTTTTAAATGGAAGAGGTCTAGTAGCCTTAACAGTCGTTTAGGATATTATAGTGGCAGTGTATGCAAATGACTTAAACTCCAAACTTCAGAAAAAAAGAAACATATTTTTGCTCAAATGTTGTCTCTTCAACACACCCTAATTTAGTAAACGTAATCTTAACCATCAAAATGCATGGACAACAATTACAAAACATGTGAGAAATATTAGTCCCTGTCACAACCGACAGGAAGTTACATTTCAGTAAAATGATTGAAATTGGTACCTTGACAACAGCTGCATTATAATCCCTTAATACCATAGGAATAAATAAAACCCAGTGTCAAATTAACTACTCTCCTTTTTTATTTTACATTAGAAGGCAATCTTGTGACCATCAGTATTTTTTTAGAGGGAATATTTAGCCCAACCCCAGTTGATTTTTTTTTTGTTATTGTTGTTGTAAATTATACCACAGTAAGCTTGGACATCTAGTTTCCAAACTGGTCAGTATGGGTTCACAACTGCCATGATTAATGTTTCACGGCATTGTACACACACACACACACACACACACACAACCACACACACACACACACACACACACGCGCGCGCGCGCGCACACACGGACTAAAAAGACAGACATATGCAAATACACGAACGCTCAAACATATATGCACATGTATATTCATTCAGACATTTCTACACTAAAGGTGTGTTTGTGTGTATGTGTTTCTTTCGTAGGCCTTTCGGTAGTGTTCAACACATAAATCAATATTTTAGGAAAGCATACATTTAGAGGCCTGTAGTTAGGATCCATCCAGTAGATCAATATCAAACTACTAAGCCTTAAGGCCACCATCTTTTTTTTCTTTTAGAATAACAGAAAAGAAAAAGAAAAAAATCATAATTTTTTTTTTTTTGGGAAAATCAATGTGCCAGTGTCTATACTCATTACTCTTCATACCTCAAAATAAGAAAAAAGGAAAATCTAGTGCCATTTTATTTGTCATTCTTTTTGAAAGAAGTTTATCTATTAGTACTTATCCATCGGAGACATGCATTCGCATGTGGTCATTGAAGTGCTCCATTTGGTCGAACTTGGCAGGGCAGACGGAGCACACGTAGGTGGTCCCTTCTTGGCAGCTCGCTTCTGCAGCTACACCCACTCCTGTTCCAACCCCAGCCCCTACACCAGCACCTCCGCCCGCCGGCATGGCGAGGGCCACCACTCCGGCGCCAGGCTCGGGGACGGCCATGGGCATGGGAATGGAGACGGGGCCCGGGGTACCCGCGCTCCCCGACAGCCCCGTGATGGCGCTGCCTGTGCTGTGCAGGGCCATGTGCCTCTCCAGCAGGGTCTTGTGTGAGAACTTCTTCTTGCAGATGTAGCACTCGTAGGACTTCTCTCCACGGTGCAGCCGCATGTGGACATTGAGAGAGCTCTTCTGGGTGAAGCGCTTGTTGCAGATGCTGCACTGGTAGGCGCGCACCCCTGTGTGTGTCACCATGTGTTTGATTAAGTAATCCTTCAGGGAGAATGAGCGCCAGCAGATGCTGCACTGATGGGGCTTCTCACCTGGAGGTACATGCAAGACAAAAGCAACGAGGGGAGAAAAGAAGGGGACACATTTTGAGGACGAGGTTTACAAAACATGCAAGAACTTGTGCAGCAACATTTGACGCCTGAGTTCACCAGCGGTAGAAGGGATTAATTAAACCGCTATAAGCTTTGTAAAGATGCTGCGTTCAGTAGCTTCATGGTCTGCACGTCCTATAACGTAGCTCTGACGCTGTGATGGTAACATTTGCGCTTTGATATTGATATATTGCAGAGGCTACGGGGAGGGTTTGAAAAACACAGCGATAATTTGAATTCCTGTACGACCACGAACCAAATCATTTACGAACCTATTTGGTTTGTTCAGACGTAAGCGCAATTTACATAATTATGATATTCTTCAATTCAAGTCTGGGAAATATCAAAGTATTAATAATTGCGTAAAACTAACAGGTAGAGGAAGAGACAGAGCTGACAAAGCTGCGAATAAGCAATTTATATCATGCAAGTTAATGAGTCTTGTGTGTCTCCAGTTTGCCGCTGCACTGCATAAATGTGAAGCGACCTGTTTTGATTTAATGAAGCCAATAATTTGTACTTTTATCTGATCCCTATTTCTCCTTTATGTTTACCTGATCGAATGAGTTACACTTTAGCACCATACAGCCGACACACATAGAACAGGTATTCTTTTCACTAGTATATTTGCATTATATATTTGCATTGCATTGACTCGTTTTTGTCGTTATTGCAGCATATGACCTATTACCTCGGCTGCACATTATGTATTGACGTCTTTTAGCTTTTTTGAGTGTGTATTGTTACAACTCTCTATCTTAAGGAATTACATTACATAAATACTACTGTGTGATTGGGCTATGTGAAGATGAAATAAAATGTTTATAATAATTCTTGCCAAAGTCTTTTACTGAAATGAAATGTGTCAGATGCATGGTAATCTCATAGGAACATCAACACTATATTACGATACATCATGCTGGCATTTGGTTTGTTTTTGAATAATATTTGTTACGAGACTGAGTAAAGATCCGTAATCCGACATTAAATCCCGCGAGACGTTGAGATCTCGTCCCGACTGGTCGATCAGTCACTTGCCTTTCCCGCACGACATCGCTCTGCTCTGCACGACCGTGTGAGCGAAACCGGGGAGGTTCTGTTTCAAACGGTCGTCACCGCTGGCTCTGGTTCTTATGAATAATAATGGATATTTGAGTAGGCGATCTTCTAATTATATACTATCTAATTCTTTCTATCTGTGGTGGTGATTCCTACGGTTTGTGATTGATACGGCTGTCAGGAAAGCAGTGCACGGTGTAATGATCGGCGGCATGAGCCAGCTAATGGCCCCGTAAGTCAGAGGGGAATGACACTAAAACTACTGGGCAACTGTGACTAAAAGATGGCAAAACACATGCTGGGTTCATGAAAACACAGCATGTGTTTCCTCAATGTTAAAGAGTTTTTCATCCGCTAACCAAAGATTTGTTAGCCCCCCCCCCCCCTTCCCCCCAACTCCCCACCGCAAACAACTTCACTTGACATTCACAGACTTCACCAGACGTCCTGACTCACCGGTGTGGACAAACATATGTTTGACGTAGTTCTGTTTGGCAGTAAAGGTTTTACTGCAGAGAGTGCATTCGTAGGGCTTCTTTTCCCCCGGACCGATTCCTCCTACGAGCTGCTGCTGCGACGCCGTTTGCTGTACCGACATGGAGTTCGGGAACGACGGCATCGCGGCGTTCTGCACGGCCACAAACTGGGCTGGTTGCTGGACAGGAAGGTAAGGGAAAGGCTTGTTGTCTCTATTCGTCTGCGGGTGAAAGAGCGTGGGCAGGAAGGTGCTTCCAGCGGTGCCCATCACCTGGGAGTTGCTGGTCACGGTGAGCGGCATCCTCAGATTGCTGGTGAGTGATTCTGCCTGGCGCATGTAGTGCGGGGCGTTGGACAGGGAGTGCGACAGCACCGAGTTTGGCAGGGGCTGCATCATGCTACTGTCACTAGTGCTGTGGGATGTGTCCCCGTCCTCTGGGTCTTCCACTTGCTCTGGGGACGAGTCGTTGACCTCTATATGCACCGGGCCCCCTTCGCCTTGCTGATGGCCGTCCCCGTCCCGGCCGAAGCCCGTCAGGTACGGCTGCGGCTCCATGGCATCTGGCTCGGTGCTGATGGAGGAGCTCACCCCTGAGTCGAAACTCTCAACCTTGGATTCACTCTCCACACCCTCCGTGTGGTCGGTGTCGTCTTGGCAGTCCCCCAAATTATCGTAGCAGCTGTGCTCGTCCTCGGCCTCCTGCTTTATGTGCATCCCTCCCGTGTGGATGCGTACCGGCCGGGGCTGCTTGCGGCAGTGGGTGGACTCCGCTGTGGAGATGAAGCGGTCGACCTGCTGAGACCGCTCCTGGATGCGGTTCATCCACGGCGGGTCTTGAGATTGCTGGACCTCCTGAGTGCTTAGAGTCGGATCGTAGTTTGTCGACATGGGGGTAATGTACAGGGGGCGCTCGCGGGTGCCGTTCTGCAGAGTGAGGCCGGGGTAGGAGTACAGTGATGTGTATGCGCGGTCAATGCCTTGAGATGTTGCTTGCATATAACCTGACTCTGCGTCGCTGCTGGGCCCGGACGTGCCGGACTCCGGCGTGCCGCGGGGCGTATCCTGACCGGAGTCTCCCGGTATGACGGGGAAGCCCCCCGGCCCGGCCAGGCCCACATTCTGGGACACGATGCGGGTGCACTCATCGATGACGGTCTTGATCTGGAGGATGCTGGCAGCGGTTAGGATCTGCAGGGCCTCTGACTGAGACACCCGCAGAATCCCGCTGTACATAAAGTCAATCAGCTTTTGGATGGATTGCACCGAGACCACAGAAGGGATCTCAATGTCGCTGTAGCCCAACAGCAGCTTGTCCTGAAAGAAGGGGCTTCCAGCAGCCAGCACGCAGCGGTGAGCTCGCAGCATACTTCCATGGATCCGAACAGTCACGTCACAGAAGTGCCCACGGTTGCGCTGCTCATTGAGGGTCTCAAGTACAGAATTGCTGAAGTTGTGGAGATTGATGTTATGAATGCGCTCGGTCATCCCCTTGCAACTGATGTCACCTGCAAGCAGGACGCAACACAGCTGACTTAAAAACTCTCCGCACAAACACACAGCCACCACATTGCAGGGAAGGGGTGTAAAATATTTAACAGCAGCATATTTGCATTGCGGATTTACAGTATTACCGGTATGTTAGGATGGATACAACCGTGTTATTCTATAATTAAATATACACTATTTTACGGAATAGTCAAGAGCAAATGCATCGCACATTTCTTTTGGGCTGTTAGGAATCGCAGCCTGCTCATGTGATAAGCGACATTATTACCGATACGTTAATATGAATCACCCCGTTCTCAATTCCAAAACCTCAATTAAATTTTTCTTCATTTTTACACTGACATGGTGAAAGACAATTAAGATGGTTGACGTCTAATTAATACAAGTTTCCGTATGTGTGTTCCTAAAGTCCCTCCAACCACCAGTAGGTGGCGCACGGGGCTTATATAACGACAGGCCTCTTTTGTTAGCCATGTGTTCCCTGCGATGGCGCTTCCTAACTATCCTCGGAATAGATGTGTCCCGGTTGATCAGTGCGTAAGATAACTTAAAGATGCTCTGCTTGAAAGGTAATGAAAACCTTCGTAGAAAATTAGCGAGGTAGAAAGTGTCAAAATTATGCAAATTGAGGGGTTTCCATAATTGCCGTGAAATTAATTTCCTTTGCACATAAACATACTTGAGTAAAATGTAATTAAAGCGGTTGACCTTATTTGACTGAATATTGAACACGGCCCTTTTCTTTAAGGTAAATGTCTCCTTTTTGATCTCGGAAACAAATCCATGTCTGTAGATAATTCATTTACCGTTTGTCTGTCAATGAATAACACGAAATTCATGAAAACATATTGGTAGTGAAATGTCAGAAGCAACACATGACTTAACTACTGTATGCATGCGAGAAAGAAACGTGCAGTTATACAAAGGGCAGAAATAAATTAAACCGTAGTAGTACCAGTAAAAGCATATTTGATGGTAACATATATTTATCCAAAGGAAGTAGAATTTAGCTCAGATGTACTGCGGAAAGAGCACAGCAGCGCGATCTAGAAACACGCATTAATACTCCAATACTTGCTAAGTTGTTTTCAACTCACGCGTAAAGGTGGAAGGCAGAAATACCGAAGCGCTACTCACAGTTAGATGACGTTTTGTTCCGAAGGTGTTTGTGTGGCTGGTGATGAAGTGCGGCTCAAGCTTCAGTTTGCTGGTGGAGATGGCTGATCGGAGGCCCGGGTGCTATGCAAGGCTGTCAGTCCTCTCTGTCCAAATCATGTGTTGCTCTGCCATAGTGTTTGGAGAAAAGGGGGGGTGGGGGGGTGGAGAGAGAGAGAGAAAAGACAAAGACAAATCTTAATGCCACATACTGCCTCGTCAATATTGCCACTCCCTCGATGAACAGGGGAGCAGCGGCAACACAAATATCTTCCACAGACACGCTGCAACAGATGTGTGAAGAGTTTTCAAAGCGAGGTGAGTGCGCGTTCCCGTGCGCACAAGACCACCAATTACGAATGAAGGTTGAAAATAATATTGGCGGAAGAGCCGTTATCTTTACCGCTGGGCAAAAAAAAGCAAAAAAACACCGCACACCCTTTTAAAAAAAGAAAAATTGATCCGAATTGCTTACAAATTTAACCGGATTCAGATGTATCAGAGAAAGAGAGTGTGTGGGGGACATTTTTTCTGTTCTTTTTCCTTTTTCGTATCCACAAATGTAACAAGACAATGTCTAATCCAGTCGCAGAGCGGGCATTAGAAGTTGTGATAATAGAAAAAAAAAGAAGAAAAAAAAAAGTCTCAAATTAACTACACAAGGCATTCATTGAAAAACACAAGACAGGCATTCAACAACGTTAAGCATGTGATGAGCTGGCTCGCTGGTGCTCAGAAAGCTTCACACGATTGCCCTTCCACTGCACACACGCAGTCTCCTGCAAAGGATTCAGCTCAAAAGTCGAGAAAAAAAAACGACCACATTCAAACGAAAAAAAAAAATTACACTGAAACGTTTTTAAAAAAGCCGTTAAATGAGTCCGACGCCTTTAAATATTTATACCACAAAGCTTTAAAGGTATGTGATGATCTCTCCGAATTAAAAAAGCGCGATCTGACACTTACTAACATACTTTATGGAAACAAAGTCAAGGTGTTTTTCGTAGCTGTCGCACACCGGCTACAACATGAACATCAAGTGCTCCCTCAGGAATGCCAGTAACAACAGCGCGTTGCTGAATGAGCAGGACGAGGTGAGGATTCGACCAGACCTGTACGTTAACGCCGGCACGTATTGTTCTTTTAGGAATCCCTGCTACTTTCGGGTTTGAAAACTGCACACGACAAGGTTATGATTTTCAATGAGTGACCCGAGTGTTTTTTCCACTGGTGGTACCGAGGTAAACAGACATTCAGGGCCCCTGAAACGGTTGGAATGAGAAGATGATTCCATTGAAGGTTCTAGCAGCCGCGTTGCTGCTTTCAGTCCGCGGGCCCGAGTGCCGAGACGTGTGCTCGCTTTCCTAAAATGTCCTTGTCAACCAACAAATCTGCTGATTACACATAGAAAAGTAATGGCGTGTCTAGCAGCAGAGGGTGATCACTCGATACTGAGACGCATCGTTCTTTGGCACTGAAGCACACACACACACACACGCACACACACACACACACACACACACACACGGGTTAGTTGTTCCGTCTTATATTCTAAGGTGAAATCTAAAATGAAACTTTTGTTGAAGCGTAGCTGCAGACTCTTACCAGCGAGCTTCAGCCCGTTTTGCCATGAGCCTCGATATCACCCTGAACCCAAAACATGAGCCGCGTTCTAATAACTAACCATAACACCCTCCTGTAGGTGTAACCTTTGCCTTCACAATGCCGCCGCCGCCGCCGCTGAAATAATTAACAATTGACTAAGTCGAATTGAAAAACCAACAGGAATAACCGTAGCTGGAGCCTCCTCTTTTGAGCGCTGAACACAAACATGAGCCAAAATGCTTGAATCCATAACCGTGGCAAATATTTGACCTTTTTTTTTTTTTTTTTGCACCAACGGATAAAACCGTATTTCTTTGCCATGGGGGCCCTTTTCTTTTTTTTTCCCCGGGACTAATGCTAGACAATGCAAACATGTATGTTTCTCTCTCTGCGCCCCCCCCCCCCCCCCCTCCAAAAACCAAGAATTTAAATCCCCCTGCCTGAGGGGGAAAGGGAGGGGAAAGCCGGCAACAAAGGAGCCGGCCCAGAGAAGGAGGCTTTCGGTGCCCCGACTGCCACTCACAACAGTGATTCCATTTTAGCCGTGACACAGTGGGTGAGCAGCAGCCAGCGCCTACCTGCAGTGAATTCTAATCAGCCCAGGGGTCTGTCCCACCCCCCTCAGCCCCCACCCAGCCCCCGCCCTCCCTCCTGTACCCTGCCTTGGACTAAAGGGGCTGATGATCCTTCAAAATTAATTAGATCCTTGTAGGAGGCAGCCATTTTCTTTCACTTCCAAACGCTCCACCCGAAAAAACCAAAAACATTTTTTTGAATTCAAAATCCGGAGGAGGGGGGACGGGCGGGGACGGGGGCTGGGGAGGGAGAGGAGGGAGGGGCGGGGGGTGGTTATTTTACCATCCTCGTATTGATCTCCATCTCTGTGTGCTGCTACCTGTTTCCTGTTTCATCACGTTGAAACTCTATTCTTTCGTCTGTCTCTCTGTCTGCACCCCCCCCCCCCCACCCCACCCCCCCCCCTTTCCGACAAACCCTCCCCGACACCCTCCGCCCTTCTCTGGCTGCCTCTCCGTGCTCCCAGCTCTGTGTCTGCCTCTGTAGAGTTTGCTGTCAATAAATCCCCAGAGGTCAGTTTGTCTGCTGGAAATCAGACACAATGCTTCAGACAGCCAATGCCGTGCATGCTCTGCTGCTGCCGCCACAACAAAGGCTGGGGAGGGGTGGAGAGTGGGGGGGAGAGGGGGGGGGGTAAAGAAGAAGAAGAAGAAGAAGGAAGAGAGAGAGAGAGAGGGGGGAAAAAAAGGAGAGGATCCGAGGCAGATGAGGACGGTAACTTCAGCAGGCAGACTCCAGGTTAATCAGCCGCCTGTATTAGGTGACAAGCTCATGAAATACGCTGCATCGAATCGGACATTAGTTAATCAAAGGGGGGGGGGGGGGGGGGGGGGGGTTGGACGGGAAGGTGGGGGATGGGACGGAGGACAGACATAAGAGGCGTGCTTATGAAAGGAGCCGTATCGGGCCACGTGAATAATGTACATCCTGAATATGCAAATGCGGCTTACAGCGCACGCCACGCGTCACGTGTTCGAGCCTCTCGGTGCGTTTAAATGTGGAGACAAAAGGGCCCGCGGGGCATTGTGGAGAGCTCGTGTCCATGCATGTGCATTCAGCTCCTCGGCGAATCGAATGCAGATTTGCCTTTATCGGGAGTGGTTTTTTTGTGTTACATCTAATTAATAATAATTTAAGAGTTTGTTTGAAATCTCTGCTGCTGAGATTATTCATTTCTACCATCCATTCAGCCCAAGAGCATTAGCACATAAACTAGCAGAAATCACACTTTGATAGTAAGGTTTGGATGCATTATCCCAGGTGATTTGGGAAACAATGTAAATGTGCGGCCAACACAGTGGGAAATGTTAATAAGCGGTAATCAAGTGATGTGTTGTTCTGGAAACTGATAATTCAACTCCAACGAAGACGCAAAAAACAATTTGCAGCTGGAACTCGCTGCAATCAGTCAACACCAGCAACTTTTAATGAATTCAAATAATTCCTCAGGTAATGCTGTTGTGTCGTGGTTCCCTCTGATCAGCACAATTCAAAATTATTCTTTCGGGCAACTAAATATTCATCTCAGCCCAGCAATGTCGTGTCGGCTGATTGAATCTGAGTAATTTAGTGTGCCGCGTGTCTTATTATATTCGAGTGTTCGACCATAACGTCGTGAGGCAATTAACAGGGAAGGTATGCACCTAAATCACCCACACTTCAGGAGACGCAGAGGAAAACACCCCACAGTCTCGCAATTTAATTGATTTGCCTTTATAGCAGTCGCCGAGAATCACCAACGAGCGAATCACCAACAAACACGTAGGCTGTTTGACAAGTTGAGCCAAGATTTCCGTATTTTACACACACACACACACTTTTCCTTTTTTTTCTTTCTTTCTCCACTCTTACTTCCTTCTCCTTTTTTTGTTGTTTTTTTTTCCTGAAACTGTCCACCCGACGAAACGCCGTCCTGAGGAGCGCACTCCAACGCGGCGTTGTCCCGAACGATTGGGACACGAGACGTCCTGTTACTGTACTTTGAACTGGAACCTACGACACAGGCCACGGATTCTCCCTTCAAAATACAGTTTGGGTTTCAGGCCCCCCCCCCCCCCCCCGCCAGGCCTCCCGCCCCCCAGCCCACCCGGGGACCGCTTAAAGAATATGCAAGCGGCGTGAAACGGCGTTCCATTAAATCACAACTCTTTTTATCCTCCTGTTGTGAATACGCGAAGTAATTACAGAGTGTGAAGTGTGATGTCGCGGCCGCGTTGTGCTCGTGTCCATCGGGTGCTGCTGACTCTTCATAGCGCGCCATAAATTTAATCTAACTGTTCATGTTCAGTTCCTGCCACTAAAACGTCTCAAATAGCCGAGCGGATCAATGTGATAACAGCGTTCAGTCCGACCGGATCCCAATGTGACAGGATGTGCGGCTTTCAAATAAATTCCTCGGGCAAACACAAACAACACACACTGCCACGCCGCTACACAAGTAAAGGACAGTTTAAATATTTTTTTTGACAGGACAGCTTGTTCAACTTCGTCATTTTCTGTCAAAAAAAAAAAGGGGGGGAAAAAAAACAAAACAAGAAAAACACACACCCACCAGCGCCACCCGTTATCCATCGCGCGTCCTTTGTCTATTTGCAGATGGGAGGATGATCTACTTTCTAATACACTTTTTCGCGAACACAAACATTCCTGAATTGGGGGCATCCGTTTTTGAGCTTCTGGTCTTTCCAAAAGGGGGGTGGGGGGGGCTAAAAAAAAAACCCGACAGTGGCCCGCGCGGCGATAAAATTAAAAAGAAGTGCCCCCCCCCCTTTCTTTCCCTGGGGGGGGGTGGGGGGGGGGGGGGGAAGGGCGCTTTTAAGAAGCTACCTGAGCACCAGCCGGGGGCCTGCGCTTGTGCAAATGAGCGTTTGACCGGAAAAAAGAACCGTCCGACTACTCGCGCGATAGTCTGCAAAACACCTCTGACCCCCCCGGAGCAGATAACGGC